ATTAGTGGTTGTACAGTCTATCGACCTAAATTTTATCATAACAATCTTATCTCCGCGTTTGTCTCGCCTCCCTTTCAGTCACTAGTAGCCTAATCTATATCATCTGCACAAACTAATTTGTTTGCTGTTTCAGCTTTCTGAAAAATAAATGACATAATGAAATAAACAATAAAACAATACGGGATGTATATTTTACTACCTTGTGGAGACGCTGAAAAAAATGTGGTTCCAGCGCTGTGCTTCAGTTCTAAATTTATAAAAGATATTCTCTGTTCATAGGTTCCAGTATTATATGGTTCAGTTGCTAGTTGCACTGTAGTCTGATCACGTGACTCGGGCCTTGTGGTCGGTAGGGCCTGGTCATGTGACCAGGATGTCTTGCAGTTTGGGACCCACTCACTGTATCGTGGGGAAACTCTCCTCGAATCTTGGGTTCTTTAGCACTTGAGAAGGTTACAAGGCCTACTAGCCCAAGTGCGTTGTTGTTGTTAGGGGTTGTATCATAAATGAACTAAGACCAGTAGGGTGAGAGGTAATGGAAAAGTTTACAGAGGCACATAATGGATTCAGGAACTGAACCCCAGTACTCATTTAACACAATAAGTTACAGCACTGATGAGCTAGCTATAGACTTGCCTAACCTAACATAAACACCAACATTCTTCACACTTGGCTGGTTTAGCATAGCTTACATGTTAAAAACTGGATTCAGTAACTGAATTCTAATATTCTGTAGGCTAAGCAATTAACATTTGTGTACATAAATGTACATTGCGAGAGGCCCCTATTTGCTTATATTCACAATCTTTGTTTATACCTTATGAAAGGTATTCGCTTCGGTGGCGCGACTTTGCATTTGTTATACTGCATAAGGCCAAATCTACATCACATGGTATTTATCCTGCCATCTTGAGCTTTTTAGGTTTAAAATTAGGATTTTGTAGTAGTGATAGGAAAGTGTGTGGAAATTATGCAGTGCATTGTGTGTGGAGAGGCGAGCACCTTGAGGCTAGGGTACACTCCACCTGACTCATCTCTTCCTATAAATTAAGGTGCAGGTATGCGGTAGTGTATATGTAAGTTTAATTGTAAGGGTTCAAAACGTTTCTTTAAGTATAATAAGTCAATTGATGTAGTTATTTCTGCATTAGTGACTTTTGTAGCTAACTAATGCAAGGTTATGCGGAGAGCGGCAACCAAGCGATATGTACCTCCTCTTGTGCAGGGTGTTGGTAGTGATGATGATAGAAAACATTGGCGGAAGAAAATGTTAGCGTTAGGCCGCAGTACGTTTAGGAGTGTTCATGTGGGTTTCTTGTGTCCATGGCGGTGGTATAACGCGACGACGTCGGCGGGGGGGATGGGCTGTAGGGCAGGTGTGTGCGCGTTTGTGTGTGTACACGCCTGTGTGCGCGGGGAGGATGTGTGGAGGTTGGCGGGCCGACCTCACGTGTGCGTCTGGGGCCAGGCTGCGGGCGGCCGATCAATACTCCATACTGTACTTTCCTACCACCCTTACTCTTCCGCTTCTTGAGATTCCTTGCTTTATTACACAAATAGTACTCCTGTTTACTCTTAACGATCAGATATGCATCATGTTACTATGTGTGTGTGTGTGTGTGTGTAGAGAATTTGACGTTTGGTAGCATTAAGGCACGAGGAACCCGAGACATGATCCGCTACTTGTACTGGGCGTGATCCCGGCTGGGTACTGTTTACCTGTGATCACATGGCCAGTTAAGGTTGTGTGAGGCACGACCCATCAACACGCCATATACTGCTTCACACACACCTTATCTCTTCGTCTAGACATGACATGCATCATGTCGTCGTCTCGCATAATATCTATTAGCTGATCTTTCAAGGTGCACACACACTGCACATTGGAATGGAGTCCAGAGGCCTTGTACCATAATTTGCACCAGAACAGACGCAGTAGAATATCGGGGATAAATCCAATACATCAGAAAAGTGCTACTCCATGTGGGCCCAGACAGTATTTTTTGGCCCTGAAAAGGCAATAGTAACAAATTATTTTAGGAAGAAATTTTTGCAGTAAAACGCCTATTTAACACGAGTATTTTCGAACCTTTCGTATGGTACAAGCTTTGTATGTAAAAGCGCCACCCGATCGAAATGTGCGAGAGACTCGTCCTTGGACGATAATTCTCGCCACCTATCTGTGGGGATGTGACCGCAAGCAGCTATAGTTTGATTGATTATACACAGTAGGACAGTTACAGCCCCGCTCCTGTGCCAGGTAAGTCCACTACGGTCTCTCCATAGCCCGTGCTACTTTAAAACTTTTGTTCTAAGTAGCTGAATCTAAAACAACAATAATAGTAGGACCAAAAACGTAAACAGCACTGTGGGTGAGAGTCGTCTAGAACGGTGATTGCAAGACAGGTTGGTGTTATTGTGGGGAGTATTGGAGGCAACAGTGGAAGTGAAGGAGAGTCCACCTTTGTTTAACACTGACCTTTTTCTTGCTAGCCATACAATAGATATATACAAGTTTTTTTGTTCTAGGATACATTGTATCTATTCCCCCCAGCTCCCCCTCCCCCTTCTCTCTCCCTCCCCTTCTCTCTCCCTCCCCCTTATCTGTCCCATCCCCTTTTCTCTCCCCCTACCCCCTTTTCTCTCCCCCTCCCCCTTTTCTCTCTCCCCCTCCCCTTTTTATCTCCCCCTATTCTCTCCCCCTCCCCCTTTTATCTCCCCCTATTCTCTCCCCCTCCCCCTATTCTCTCCCCCTCCCCCTATTCTCTCCCCCCTCCCCCTATTCTCTCCCCCCTCCCCCTATTCTCTCCCCCCTCCCCCTATTCTCTCCCCCCCTCCCCCTATTCTCTCCCCCCCTCCCCCTATTCTCTCCCCCCCTCCCCCTATTCTCTCCCCCCCTCCCCCTATTCTCACCCCCCTCCCCTATTCTCTCCCCCCCTCCCCCTATTCTCTCCCCCCTCCCCCTATTCTCTCCCCCCTCCCCCTATTCTCTCCCCCCTCCCCCTATTCTCTCCCCCCCTCCCCTATTCTCTCCCCCCCTCCCCCTATTCTCTCCCCCCCTCCCCCTATTCTCTCCCCCTCCCCCTTTTCTCTCCCCCTCCCCCTTTTATCTCCCCCTATTCTCTCCCCCTCCCCCCTTTTATCTCCCCTATTCTCTCCCCTCCCCCTATTCTCTCCCCCTCCCCCTATTCTCTCCCCCTCCCCCTATTCTCTCCCCCTCCCCCTATTCTCTCCCCCTCCCCCTATTCTCTCCCCCCCTCCCCCTATTCTCTCCCCCTCCCCCTATTCTCTCCCCCCTCCCCCTATTCTCTCCCCCCCTCCCCCTATTCTCTCCCCCTCCCCCTATTCTCTCCCTTCCTCCCCCTATTCTCTCCCCCCTCCCCCTATTCTCTTCCCCCCTCCCCCTATTCTCTTCCCCCCTCCCCCTATTCTCTTCCCCCCTCCCCCTATTCTCTTCCCCCCTCCCCCTATTCTCTCCCCCCCCCTCCCCCTATTCTCTCCCCCCCCCCCCCCCTATTCTCTCCCCCCCTCCCCCTATTCTCTCCCCCCCTCCCCCTATTCTCTCCCCCCCTCCCCCTATTCTCTCCCCCCCTCCCCCTATTCTCTCCCCCCCCTCCCCCTATTCTCTCCCCCCCTCCCCCTATTCTCTCCCCCCCTCCCCCTATTCTCTCTCCCCCCCTCCCTCTATTCTCTCCCCCCTCCCCCTATTCTCTCCCCCCCTCCCCCTATTCTCTCCCCCCTCCCCCTATTCTCTCCCCCCCTCCCCCTATTCTCTCCCCCTCCCCCTATTCTCTCCCCCCTCCCCCTCCCCCTATTCTCTCCCCCCTCCCCCTATTCTCTCCCCCCTCCCCCTATTCTCTCCCCCCTCCCCCTATTCTCTCCCCCCCTCCCCCTATTCTCTCCCCCCTCCCCCTATTCTCTCCCCCCTCCCCCTATTCTCTCCCCCCCTCCCCCTATTCTCTCCCCCCCCCTCCCCCTATTCTCTCCCCCCCTCCCCCTATTCGATCCGCCTCCCCCTATTCTCTCCCCCTCCTCCTATTCTCTCCCCCTCACCCCTCCTTTCTCTCCACACCCCCTTCCCCCCTCTCTCCTCCTCCCCCTTTCTCCTCCTCCCCCTCTCTCCCTCACCCCCTCTCACCCTCACCACCACTCTTTTTACACCTTCACCACCACTCTATTTACACCTTCACCACCACTTTACACCTTTACACCTTTACCACTTGGGTAAATACTGGTTCAGTAACAGGGTTGTTGATTTGTGGAACCAATTGCCGCGTAACATTGTGGAGGTGGGGTCCCTCGATTGTTTCAAGCACGGGTTGGACAAGTATATGAGTGGGATTGGGTGGTTATAGAATAGGAGCTGCCTCGTATGGGCCAATAGGCCTTCTGCAGTTACCTTTGTTCTTATGTTCTTATGTTCACTCTATTTACACCTTTCCCCAAACCCTCACACCTAACCCCTCTCACCTTCACACCCCCCCCCCCCCGTCATCCTCACGCCTCTCTCGTCACCACTCCCCCACCCTCACACCGTCCCTTCTCAGACCCTCACCCCTTCCCTTTCAGATCCTCACCCCTTCCCTTTCAGTCCCTCACCCCTTCCCTTTCAGTCCCTCACCCCTTCCCTTTCACTCTCACCCCTTCCATTTCATATCTTTCCTTTCACCATCACCCCTTCCCTTTCAATAGTTCTAAAGACTGTTTTTCCCATTTCACCTTTTTTTTTGCAAATTATTGTGTTGATGGAATGATAGTTTTATAGTGTACAGTACTTCATGAATTTATATGTTTTGGTATTTCATTAATTTTGTATTTATGGATGCATTGTTATTGATAGGCTGCCTTTGGGACTTAGATTCTGACAAGGCATTTCTACATAGGAGCTGTGTATGTTTGTGTGTACACGTGCATGTGTTTGTGATTGTGCAGTATACTTGATAAATGTGTGTGAAGTACTATATTGTGACATTACCAGTTTTGTATTTTGTTTTTTGCAGATACCTTGATGCATATGAACGCATTAATTTTCTTGGGGAGGATGGGGAGGAGCGTGGGGCAGAGATGGACGATGGAGAAGACTCCAGACTGATGAGGACCAAACGTGCTATACGGTCTCTTAACACTGTTCCCCTCTGTTACAACCATCAACAGCACAACGTCTTAGGTAAGATCATTACATGCAGTCACTTGCCTGGATGGTATTCACATTCTTATGTACACAACTAAACTTCACTGTTAAGCCAAGATAAAACTGTTCTTACCATTATACTGTAGAAAATTTAAGAATGATCTTACAGCAAAATGCCCATTAGTTAACATTTTTCATTACGTGAATTGTTAATGCTTAAGAGGAATGTGACATGATAATGGAGTAATATAATCTTAGTAGGGTTTTGATATCAAATTGTCATCTATCTGGAATGGTGTGTGTGTGTACTCGGTTGTCTAATTATTATTTGCAGTGAATTTGAGCTGTATCCCACCTGAGAAAATATTTTGTATGCATTCAATGACTTAAGTAGGAGAAAAGGGAGAAAATGTATCGAGATTCAAAGTCTTCTCTTCATAATTTTGTTATGCAATCTGCAGTTTATTTTCCAAAACCATGACATCTATGAAATTGAATACTATTTTCAAACATTCACAATGTTTAAAACATTGTGAATGATTTAAGACTGAAGATATGATGTCAACTTTAACTCTACAATGTTATGAATTTTTGTAGGATGTAATGTAGGAATTTTGTATTATAATAAGCATAGAAAAAGTAGTAGAGCAAAGAACTTTCCTTTTGCTATATTGAACACGACCCCAGCGGCCTCTAGGGTGGCAAGGGGCGTGCTGCTCTCTTCTATTGATTGTCACCCGTGAAGAGGGAGGCTGATGTGTAGAGAGAATACCATAGTTGCTGGTACTCTCATTAACTACTAGTTTGGAGCATGTTTCTTAGTACAGTATGTCACTTCTCAATATATGTAAAAATGTGTGTGTATATTTGCGTATGAATGTGTGTATTTACGTATGTGTGTAAATACCTAAGTTGTAATTACACACATTCGAATGATATATTGACGTTAGTACAGTATATGCAATTTTTTTCTCTTGCTCAGTAGGCCAACAATCAATACTGGACGCATCTAGGTCACAAGATCTTTTATTTGTGCTACATCTTTTTACCTAAGGATTTTCATTCATTTTCTTTTGATAATTATTTGTTAGTAGACAAGATATCTGCCAGAGTAATCTGGCCAGACCAAGTGGACGAAAAGCGATCAAGGCTTGAAAGTGGAGTTTGATGTTCATAAACTAGTATTGTCTTTGAAATAAAAAATTAGAGCTCTTGTATGTATTTTAGACTTTGTCAGGAGAGCGGTGGTGTCAGAATCTAAAAAATATTTAGTGGCTAAAATGTTTGATTTAGATTGGGTAGTTTAAAAAAAATCTTGTTTATGCAAAGGGGAGTACTGTAGTAAATAAATTGTGCATTAGCCTGGATTGTACCTGGATGGGGTTCTGCGAGTTCCTCTTCCCAAACCCGGCCTGGGGACAGGCTTGACTTGAGAGCTTGGTCCAACAGGCTGTTGCTTGGAGTGGCTCGCAGGCCCACATATCAACCACAGCCCAGTTGGTCCGGCACTTTTTGAAGAAAACTATCCAGTTTTCCACTTAAGACATTCACGTTTGTTCTGGCAATAAACCAGAATTGTTCTGGCAGTTATGAATGCTTTATTATTGCAAGAATGTTTTTACAAATTTCAGTAAGTAAAACCCCATTTAAAACACAAATCTGATTTAACATGGATTCTCATGGAATGCATTCCAGCGTAAAATTGTTCTGTAGATTGCGACAAATGTGAACTGTATATGCCTTTTGATGTTGTTTGGCAGATTTTTCTGTTTACAGTGCTGTATATGGTGTCAAATATTGATCTAGATTTTGTATCTAGCAAACTGATGTAATGAATGTCATGTGAACTTAAATAAAGAATACCTGTATTGCTGTTTACAACCACATTGTTATTTTTAATTAATTTATATTGAATTTGCTTGGTAAGTTAATTTTTGTTTAATTTCCACCAGAATCAATCAGAGGTGGCTCTGGGTTATCGGTAGAGGTGTACAGACCTTCACTGTATGACAAGCTGGCACTCTCTCTAATTTCTCCACTGCCAAATGAACATGACTTTGCCTTCAATGTATGCACCATACTGAGCAATGAGGGTCGTCATGTTATGCAGCTTAGCCAGTGTCCTCGCCTAATTGAGCACATGTTGGGTCACACTGGTGTTTATAAGGACTGTAAGTATTATATTGCACTTATCAAGGCACTTTGTTGAATGTTGTATCAAATATTTTGTTATAATAATTGTCAATTTTCCATTAACTTCTTCATTAACCCCCGTCTTAAAAAATTGAATTAATATTTTTATTACCCTATGTTTCACTATGGCATGGGGAGCCAATAACATGTAGATAAAAGGGGAGTATTTAATGAGAGGTCATATGTATTTAAAAATAATGTTCATTTATTCATTGTCAGTCACAATATGTAGCAATATAGATGATCAACCTCCATTAGAGTCTAGCACTTTTTTACAGCATTACACTAATTCATAAGAGAAATGTTTTAGCGCTTGAAGACTTTTACATTGGCCACTGCTAGTGAGGAAAGCTTCTTTTAAGAGGAAGAAGAAAAGTACAGTATGTAATTAATTTAAATTTAGTATTGTATAGGTCAGTCTTTGTAGATTAGTGTGTAAGTACTATAGCTATTATATTTTAATTATTAAAATGTTATTAATAACATTGTAGATAGAAAAACAAGTGTTAATTGTTATTGCAATTTGGTTCTAAGAAGCAGTATTTTTAATTACCCATTTTTTATTTCAGGGGAAACGCAGAAATATTTCCTAAATACATATAAGGAGACCAAAGGAAGAAGTTTGGTCCAGTTTTGGATTGACTCCTTGTGTGATAATAGTGTATTGGACCTCCTCATTCCTGATAGTGTCGATCAGCCGCTGATTATAGAGGAGGAGGAGGAGGAAGTTGATTTATGCAGATTTGGTTTTGCAGGACTTGGTTCTAGTGGTGCTATAGATAGTAAAAATGTGCATAGCTTGAGCAGTGATAGTTTGGCAAATTTTGATGATAAGGAAAATTTTTTATGTGAAGACACTTGTGAACCAACAATATTAAGAGATTCCTGCATTACAAGTGAAACAAATTTAATCTTAGAAAATAGATTTGGTAGTGGGTGTTTTGAACAAATAGCTGAGCCCATATTTCGTAGAATATCCGCAGACTCCATCACACAACTGAAAAAAGAAACCATATCAAAACGACTAAAAAAGGTAAGATTTCATATTAATTTGACTAAAATTGCTAGTGAATTTTCTCCTGGCATTAGTAGGTACAGTATTTCCAACCCATCAAAGTTTTTTTTTTGATGGGTTGGAAAGTATATTTACTTTCATTTAATTTTCTTGTGTGATTTGCAATCTCTCTTTAGAGTTTGAGTATTTTATTTGATGTGGGCTATGCAATTAGGAATGTATTTTAAATAGTTTATCATGTTCTTTAAAAAGTCTTAAAGTACCTGTCTCAACTACAAGAAAATGACAGGCTGAATAACAAGAAGCTTCCAAAGAAGAGATGCCATAAGAATGATGGTACTTAAGATCTAGTGCTATCTAGAATGGAATATTGTTGTACATTATCAGCCCTATTCCAAGCTGAAGAATGTGCAAAGATCATTTACTATCAGAATCTGTTCATTGAAACATACAGTCATTGGGACCACTTGAAAATCTGTCTGTATTCTTTATAGTGAAGAGATATACTGTACATATGGATATAGAACAAAAAAAAATCATCATGGGGCTAGTTCTAGAGTACTAATTTAGTAAATCATCAATACAGTAATTGCATAATTATATATCTACGTCTTTGATACACAGTGTGAAGATGTACAAATACCATACCTTAATTATGGGTAAAAAAAGTATGAGTAGGTTAGATGTGACTGGAAGGGAGATTTTCTTGGCATATTTTGCACTGCTGCATAGGGTGATGTTTTTCCTTGACTGTGAGGTGGCTGCCCATTCCTGGTACAAACTCCTGTCCTGAGGACCATAGATCTTAGGACAACTGAACCCTGCATGTCTTCTTATAAAGCAGTGAAGTCGAAAACATGACACTGTGAGGACAAAAACTGTAAATTTATATTCATCATACAAGTCCCAAATATACGCTAAATGTTTGTTTTGCCTTTTCAACTGAAGAGATTATTATCGATGATCATAAAACTTCATCTCCGGCTCTTCAAATCATTTGGTTTGAATGTAAAACTCCATAAACATACAGGTACTTTAATATAAAGTTAATTTAGAAGATCAGACCAAATGCTGTATGCAACTTTTTAATTCAAATCATCAAAAACTTATGGTTGAATTTGTACTGTATGTTGGCATCTTCCTCATTCCACCTTACATCTTAATATACAGGTCTATAAAAGACTACAGTGATATTAACCCTCAAACTGTATCTTAGGTACCTGTCCTGGTGTGCATAAAAAAATCCTTTTTATTATAAATTATTTATTTCTGATTTTGGGAAAATATTCTATTCATTTTTGTTTGGCTGTAATGAGGTGAAGAAATGTTAAAAATGTCCAATTCTGAGAGGTGAAGAAATGTTGGAAATGTCAAATTCTGAGAATTAATTTTCAAGTAAACTATTAAAAAGAGATTTCTTATCAGAAATATCTTCCTGGTCCATTAAAGTCTTTGAAATTTTGCATGACATCAATGGTTCCAAGAATAGGCATCGGTAAATGGATGCTGATGCACCCGGCATTGTGCCAGTTTTTTAATAATGTCAAGGTAGGTAACTAAGGCTTTTAGGATTTTTGCCCAATATGGCAAGCAATTGCCAGTGGTCTCTAATGTCAAATGCCAACCACATAGAAATTTTAGAAACTTTGAATATTAAGTGACACATTGAATCATTCACAAATGACAGAAGCATTGTGAGCTTATCATTTAAAAATGAGAGCAAAAGTTTTAAGGGTTAATGCTCTAACATCATAACTTAGGCCTTCCTGTTCTTTCTGTGGATGCTTATACCTGGCACAATTCTATGAGTGGGTTTTAGCTCTGGATATTGCAAAGTATAATTTTTTTTACTTATTTTTAAAAAAATTCACACATCATTTTTTGTTGTCTACTGAGCCTCTTGCGATGTTTTAATTTTTAGCTCGGTAGCTTCAGTCTCGCTTTACTTCACCTATTCAGTATCACAGCTGAAGATTTGAGCAGACAGTTTAGGAGGCAAAGAAGGCATTCTATTTTATAAGAAGATAACAATTGCATCAAGTATATGTGACCTAGCCAAGGTATTATGAAGCATAACTTGAGTTTCCCAACCTGATATATTGGGAACAATTCCTTAAAGCATGCATGCTGTCTCTGCTGATATTTACGTGAGTGTGAGTACTCCACAAACGAGGATATATGTGCAGCTTACTAGTGGGCTGAGGCTCACCAGGCAGCATCCACACCAAAGTGGTGCGAGGAACAGTCAAGGAAGATGGCTAATGGTTTAGTAAAGGCAAATACATTCAGTAGTATACACCTGTGCAATTTAATCCTCGTGTATCTGGCAATCATTGGTCTCTCGACTTCAGCAAAAGTACTTCCCTATGTTAAAGAACATTGTGGCAGGGTTAAGCTGTCAAGCTTTCCATGACTGTCACAGGTCTGTTTGGAGGACAGTAGCTATCTTTTAGTAAACGGCTTGAATATTGCTCGATGCTGTCAGTGGGAGGAGTTGACAGGTTGGTTGCTTTTGGTAGCTGGTGACGCATGATGGGTTGCAGTGTCCTGTGGGAATTTTTTTTCTTTTCTTTATTTCTCTCACTTCACTTAGCTTTTCTTATTGTCAAATTATACACAGTTTTGGGAGTCACTAGTGGTTTTAATTTGTCGTAATGGGAAACATGCATATGTATAGATATGTGTTACTGTACATGCACCCTGTATTTATTTATATCAATTTTTGAGTCTGTAGTATTTGCACATTACACACTTTACAGAATATTGACATGCATATCACTTACTTTGTTTTAAAATGTCCAAAGAGAGAACACCTATTGAACAGTTAGTGATGCATATTTGATTTCTGTATTCTGTGTTAGACACAATACACTATTTGAACTTGGCTCGCTTTGCAACAGGTGGAAGGTAGTCAAAGTAGTGCTGTATACAGTGAGAGAGAGAGACTGGTTAGTGACAAACCTCATGGATGGTATTTCTTACATTATATTAGTATGTTGAAATATTTTTATGCTTACATTTGTAAAGATGAGGTGTGGCAGCCCCCCCCAGTCTGTTGCCTCAAACTTGGATGCTAATGCCAATATTATTTGATGCGCAAAATAATTATACCGATACTCAATTGTTCCTTACACCAGCTACTTCCCTTCTCCCCTCCACCCCACCATCACCAGCAATGTGTGTGTTTCTCTGTTACTCTACTGCTCATGTTTTGTTTTTTATGGATGTTTGCAATCATTTTTAGTATACAGGATTTAGATTTATACAGGGATTGTATAACTCCAATATATAGTTACACTGGATTGTATAACTTCAATATATTGTATAACTTCAATATATTGTATAACTCCAATATGTTCAGTTGGTACAAATACGGCTTGTAAATTTATTGTCATCTTCCATTTGCATTACAAGATTCTGTAGCCAGTGTCAGTAGACAGCACAGGAGGAAGTAGTCCAACCCCCGCCCCTCTCCCTTACAAACCACTATGATTAGTGCAAATAGGGGCTAGCTGCCTCCTCCTCTGAAAGTTTAGTGTTTCACATTAAAGAAAACAAAGCTGTGGAGAAATAGAATGCTTTAAATGTGTGAATCACAAATAATACGTTTATTTTGTTTATATATGATCTTCGGTCACATATCCAATAAAGTTCTGTAGAGTGCATTGGCTGCTAATTGGTTGATTGCTATCAACTAACAGTTAGAAGAAAGTGCTAAATAAACTTATCGAAGCTATCTTGTAAATATAGTGCAAATAAGATTGCAAAATTAATGCGAGAATCATAAATAGCTGGATTTGCAAAATGAATATGAAATCATAAATGAATAAATTTTTGTGTTGCATACAATTTCTGGGCTAGTCTCTTCAGTAAGGAAGAATTCAGTATGATTGCAATTGGCAATCATACCCACTGCCTCTCGCCAACTTTTTCTTTGTATGCAGTATATACATAATAATATGACTATAATAAAATCAGTGAACCCCTGGAAAAATGGTAGACAGTTGGTGTGGGACTACACATTCATTTCAACTTTAGCCAACACCTATGTTGACTTCAGTGTTGCACATCCAGGCAGTGCTGCCACTCACCGGGAAGCATTCAAGTCTCGTAAATACAGAGATCTTGATCACCACTACAGTTTTGTCCCCATTGCCCCGAGACACTTGGCACCTGGAGTAAAAGTGCTGCTAGTTTTTTGAAGGGTCTGGGTTCTAAGCTAATTGAAACTAGAGACCTTAGAGCTGCCAGTTTCCTCTTTCAGCGTCTTAGTGTGGCGATAGAGAGGAAAGGCACACCGCATCCATGGTTCCTGCCGACCATCTGAGGAGCTGGAAGAACTCGGCAACCTGTGACAACTAGCCTTGTACCTTGCATATAACCAATGTTGTAACCCTTTTTGTGTAATGAAGATTTAAATAAAATAAAATGACAAAATATTTTATTTTCCAGCATACAAGACACGGTTTTTTATTTTTAAATGCATCAAAAAATTGTCCTGTGTCTAATGTGGCCATATTACGGGTGTGAGACCGAGTGCCTTAGGCTAGGGAGCCCGATGAGCATATTGGCTACGTTCACTAGGGATAAAAACCGTTACTAATAATAATATATTGAAAACAAGCCGAGTTATCACAGTCTGTTATCACAAACTTAGGAGGAATTGCTTACGATATGTTGGCAGTTATGAAGGAAGCTCGCATCATCTCTCCACCTTACCCAACATACATAACCCACGCCTGGTATGTCATACATTATTTAAAGACTGTGTTACCTTTAAGATCCTATATTTATTCATTATCTAAATGAATAATGCTCCTAGATATTTGAAAAGAATGTTAAACTTTCATACACCTGTCAACCATTGAGTGAATGACAACAAAACCAGCGTGCTGTGATGGTGTGCCATTACCGGGTGCGCAGCCCTGGTGGCCTTATGCGGCAACACAAAACATCACATCCCGAAATACAAGTTTCACATTCTGTATAGCAATTCTCTTGCCAAAAATAAACTATTGTACAACTGATCTTAGAGGCAGTAAGAGTTGAGGTACAAAAACCACTTCTAAATTTTCTTTCAAATATATGATGAAACATTAATTTTTTCCATAAAATATCCTTGTAAAATCTTTTTTGTGTGTTCATCTTTTACGCTGGCAAGTATGGTACATGAAATATAGGGAGGTGGTAGGAGAAGACAATGAGTGTACACGGGTGCCCCACAAGGCTTCTCCGGATGCTACATATTGTCTTTTTTGAGATCGAGGGTCCCTACAAACACAGAGGTTATCATTTTCATAAGTTAATCTCTAGTTTTGTTCAGTACAGTCTGGAACAAATTCTTTTTTTTCCTATATACTTTTTAAATATTTATTTTTTATTTCTATAGGATTTGTTGGGATGTAAACCCATGCAAATAAATAGCCACCTGTGTGCTTTCTGATGTCATGTTTTATCCAATTGTTGAAAATCTAGAAGTCGTCCAAGATGTTAGTTACGTATTTAATAATTTACAATATTATGAAGCATATTTCCATTGAGAAATTAAGTGCATCACAAGAATCGGGGACAAGTTAATTTGTAATTATTGTTCAGTACTGACCTTTTTGCTGTTATAAGTGAATAGTCAAAAAGCATGATTTGGTCCATGTTTGCAGTGGGTATCGTTTATTCAGATACAGTACCTCGAAAAAGAGTTTCCATATGAATTAATGTTTGACCACACATTTAGGTTTCAAAACATAATTTTAGAACTGATTCGCACAGCCACACGTCGCTAGAAGCAAATGTCACCCAAATGTGGTAGAGCTAATATTTCCCAGAATGCCTTCCTCAAATCCGCACATGCCTAACACCTATTTAACACACAAATTTAGACATTGGCTAATATTTGTTTTAGTGTTTTGCACGTAGTGATATATAGCATAAAAGTTATACATCATATTGTATGTACAGTATAATTAGAAGCTTGATATCCTTTTCTGGGTGACCCCATTGGTGGTTCCTCAGACCTTATGCACTGGTACTGCAGGGCCAAATTCAACATACCAAGAGTCTGTGATTGTGTCTCAATCATTTGGGTGCAGGTACTAAAATTCTGCCTCCTCTTAAGAGCCAGGGAAGCTAAAGGAGTCATATATGCAGAATACGAGGAAACTCTGCTGAAAAGGGGGCCACAAACACTCAAAACGCTCAGAGAAATGTTTGATATGAAAGAATACCAAACACAAACTTAAACGCAATTCCAAATACCCAAAATACCACCTCGCTGCTTTTCCTCCCTCTACCAGATGGCTGCGCTAGTCAACCAGGGGTCCGGTGAGGCAACCACCACCACACACTCGCCTGGTGCCCCTCGTTCGGGAGTGGGGTCCAGCACTCATGGCCAGGTTGCTCTTAGTGAGTGGTTTTTAGCATCTTGCGTTTTTGTTGAAGCAGCTTCGTGGCCTGTAATGTCCACTCAAGTGCTTAGCTATTCACACAGAAGTGTCTGGGTAGATTTCCAGTTGCTTGCATTCTGGAATTCATTTACTCTACCTAGGTGTTGAGCTAATTTTGGCATCATCTCCAATAGCTGATAAAAATTTGGTCTTGGGATACCAGTGCATTTGCTCAGAGGCACCATTGAAGGCAACGAAAAAGAGGAGTTTCTTTATACATGATGATCTGTTATTTTGTTTTCTTGTACTGTAATTTGGTGGTTAACATTTTCTTCTTGTTCAAGGTATTTTGCTAATATAAATGCTTTAATTAATTTTAAGTTTGAGAATGCATTCCAGTGTTAGAATTAAAACATGAGTGAACAGAAATTCATATAGGCAAAAGTGAAGAATTAATTTTGTATTTTATCACACAAAATACATAAAAATACTTAGCAAATTTTATATTTGTTTATGTAAAAATACATAAATTATTGGTTGTATTTAATGATATTCTAATTATAGAAAACATTTATCCTATTATTGTGTTACGGTACTTTTACAGTTTTAATGTAAAATTATGACTTTTTTCTGTACTATATTTACAGTTTGTTCAATGATTTTTCATGGTTTTCTGTATATGGAAAGTACACACACTTCTTATTATAAATGAAAAAAAATTGGCAATATTATTTGTTTTATTTGTGATGTTTGTCTCGGAACACTAATGACTTGGTGTGGAGTTACTCGGAACATATTTTGTATTAGAAGCTACTACTCCCCCCCCAAAAAATAAATCTATAATAAAAAGGTTTTGTAAGCATTTTTAATGGTATAAATAGCAAGAACAGGTTTTTCTTACTATAAATACAAGCCAGAACCAAACCTTCCAGAATATACTTCTGTCAATAGGTTAAGCTGAAATATTATCCATTTAAGAGTGTTATAGAATCATAGGTAACATCTCCATCTGCAGTTCAGTACATTTTGTTAAGAGCATATACCTTACAATTTATATAAAGTAGACTAATAATGTGTTAAATTGATTCTAGTTCTGTATTGACATAACAATGTTAATGGCATTTTTTGTTTCAGCTTCTAGAATGTGAAGGGAGTGACCTTAAGCTGGCAAAAGAAGATATAGAGATATTTCATTTAGGACGGGATCTTGGCACACAGGATCCCGAGGGAACACGAATTAGTCAAATTCTTCATATAATTCGCAATTTATCTTTTGAAGAGCAAAATGTACCAAGTCTTGCAAAGTCTCAAACATGTCTCAGGTTTGTTTCCTAGATATTTTTTGTTAGTGTAACACTATGGCTAATTATTTTCAGTTCATTAAGAGGCATTAAAGTTTTGTATTGGCTGGGTGTGGCACTTGCAAGTGAAGATACAAAATGTGGTAATGTATATATGATTTTTGTTATTGTTGACAAAAGGGAAATATAATTGGCTAAGCAGACATAATCGAACTGTGCTGGTTTTTCTGTTGTAATCATTTCCTCAGGAAGTACCTCCTGGAAAAGTATATCAAGACTAAGATAACTTTTTGCTATCATCCCTTGAAAATGAGAAATAGGGTAATAATAAGATACCGTTTTGGGGACAGTCTATAAGATGGAATTTGATTATACTGTACTGTTTTATTTTTGCCTATACTGTACTATATAATAAATATTTACAAAATTCAGTCATTGCATTTGTACATTAAAGTAATTAAGAATCCTTTATTCCAGGTTTCTAGTTTTGTGCATATGTTCACAATGGGGAGGGTTGGCTGTCAATGCTCTGGATACCCTGGGAAATATAGCACCAGAGGTAAAACTGCGTGACCCCAAAATTGACTCGTGTTCGGCTTCGTTACTAGCACATGTATGTAAAGGTGTCTCTTCACCAGACCGAGCATTTGTCCTAAGGTGTCTGGAAGTCCTCAACAAGCTTGCCATGAATGACCCAAATGAAGAAGTCCTTAGTAACAATATTGATTCTCCGGTAAATATTATGTGATGGATTGTTTTCTAGTATTAGAAAATTGGTATTCCTATTTTGGCATGAAGTGACATGTTCTATTATATTATTTTATTTTTTCTTCTAAATAATGTAAATTTTTTACAGGTGTATGGACAAATCTGCAGATATCTTACAATCCATGACATAATGCTTTTGATATACACTTTGGAGTGTCTTTACTCGTTATCATCATTGGGGACTCAAGCTTGTAATGCTATAGTTCGAGCAACAGGATCCATTCATACACTCATCTCGTTACTCACTGTAGAAGCACAAAGTTATGGGCCTGAAGCATGTATTGGTATGAAGGTAAGCAATTATCACATTTTGTAGTTTAAAAAGTTAATTCAGAACAGTTTGCCATTGACCATTTCACGTGTTGAATTCATTGGCAATTGTTTTAATATAGTGTGACCTTGAAAATCTGGACTACTGTATATTTGTGTGTTAGTTTTAAGCATGTTTGCAGTACTGTATATTATTTCTAAAATCAAAACTATTTTTCTTTTGGAATATTTAGTACTAAAAGGGATTGTGAATTTAAAAAATTATATTAACATTTTTAGGATTGTAGATATCTATATATACAATATAGTACAAAAATGTCCAGAACATTGCTAATAGGTTTCATATTTTTTCTTATAACCAAAATCTGAAATTTCTGGACTTTTTAAAAATTGTTTTGCAGATTTTATAATTTGCAAACCAATGCGTGTATTTACCATTTACTATTTGTGCCTAGAGAGTCGCGCTATTAGCTCTTGGACCCCGCCTTTCTAACCAATCTATTTTCCCTGCAATACGTCTACTACATATATTTGTAATGTGCGTGCGCACACATCCCCAGGAAGCAGCCAGTATCAACCGTCTAAATCCCAGGTACCTATTTTCTGCTAAGTGAACAGGTTTATAAGGGTGAAAGAAACTGCCCATTTGTTTTTGCCTCAGCTGGGAATCGAACCTGGGCCCTTAGGACTACGACCCCCGAGCGCTGTCCACACGTTGTACATACGAGACCACGAAGACCCCGTGGTCTCGTATGTACTCACCTAGTTTTGCTTGCGGGAGTTGAGCTTTGACTCTTTGGTCCCGCCTCTCAACTTTCAGTCAACTGGTGTACAGATTCTGGAACCTATTGGGCCCTATCAAATATACATTGGAACTGTATGGAGTCTGCCTCCACCACATCACTGCCTAATGCATTCCATTTGTTAACTACTGACACTGAAACAATTCTTTCTAATTGTGTATGTGTGGGAGGGTGGGGAGGTGCATACGTATGCATGTACTTTCAAGACACCACTTACCTGGATATGCCCATTATCTGTTTTGGGTTTGTCCAAATACAAAAAGTCCAATTAACTGGTCAGGCAGGAAGTCTCAATAAAAATGTTCAATACAGTTAAGCCCAGTGCCTACCAGGCCTCACTGCCCATGGATGGGAAATGGGCCTAGTTGGCCCAATTACCTTATCGGGCACTGTTTGAGCAGTGTTCATACACTGAAGGATGTCACAGAAGCTTTAAATTCCACCATGGCATTAGGTACATTAGAGTACCTGGTGAATGTATGTCTGCTGAAGTTACCTCATCACCATTAATATCCACTTCTGTGAACACACCACCACCAACATTCACCACCACCTTTTCCATCTAAATAATAATACTCCATCAACTATATTCTTCAAGTTAACAAGTGAAACAAAACTTCTCATATTGGTGAGTGCAAACAAAACTTTCAAATATCTGGAATAAAATTGTCCAAATTTTTCCCCTGCTTTTAAGTATGACACACACTTAGCCGAACACAACAGGTTATTTGTTCAGTTTCAATCCCGAGACGTCCGAAAAGCACGTGGCCGTGTGTGTAATTTTTTTTTTTTTTTTTTTCATACTCGGATTAGATTATTTGTTATACAGTATTGATAGTCAGTACTGTATAATGGCATTATTTGGAATTTGTCACAATTTATTTTTCATACGTTTGAAAAATTTAGTCCTAGGGTTGGGGGGAGGAGGAAGAAAATACCTTAGTGATACTATCATGAAAGAGGATCAGTGCTGAAGGCAGTATTCAAATAGCAAATATGTTGTAGTGGTGTGTATCGTTTTCTTATTTCTTCTCTCTTTATGCTGTTTCATAAAAATTCTTGTGCAATGTGAAAAGTATATTACTAGGGAAAGTGGATAGGTATTCTTTCCTTCATTGTCCTTTGTTATTTATTAATACATGTGTAATGCTTGACACTTTTTTCTTCTGTTCTTTAGGTTGTAGAAACTGTAACTGGAGTAGTGAGTGAGCCTGAGCCAGTAACTCCTCCTCCTCCTCCTCCTCCTCCGCCTCCTACCCCGGCTCCAGTGGTCACTGCTGTTACAGCAGCTCCAGCACCAGCCCCTCCTCCCGTCACTCCAGTGGTGCCTGTTAGTAATACAGTTCCTGCTCCACCGGTTGCAACTGTTGCCCCCAAGACCCCCATTACTAAACCTCTTCCCCCCGCAGCTGCATCACCACCTACACCAACAACTACTACGACAACAGCAGCAACTATGGCTGCTACTCTTGCTGCTGGTGGTGATCCAAAGAAACTTGCAGCTAGAATAGTGAGTAATGATTGTAATGTGCTATTGTCAGCCTGTCTGTTCACTAAATGCTGTAAGTTTTTATCTTTGAGAAATGTTGTAAATTAGAGAATTACTTGCTGTTAGAATTAGGTTGAACAGATCAAAATATGCTGACAATAATTTACCAAAACATCAAGTTTGAGATGACATTATTTGTAGATAATGTTTTACCTGTACGAACTTCTGCAAATCTAACAAATGCACAGGGCTATTGCTTATAATGGGAGAAACGGGAAGAGGTGAGGTCAGGGCAAGTAGGAATTCTAAATTTTTAATTATTGGTGTTTGATGGTTGTATTCTATGTAATGAGTTTTAATGTTTTATTTAATAATGCATATAGCATCCTTAGGGGCACGTGATGTTGCTCCAGGTTTTTGTGCAAGTATTGTTGGTGTTACCTGTATGACAGTCATCTTTCTTTTTGTGTATCCTCTCATCCAAGTTCTGTGATATTTCACCAAAATATAATATGTTGTCTTAACTACCTCAAGGTATAGTTTAAGTGCCTACTATGGAAGAGTGCCTACATTTTTAAGGAAACTGTTAGTAGGTTCTACTTCATAGTCTGTTTCCCCAAATTATGTCAAAATGACAAGGTTGTGATGACCATTAAATATACAACATAACAAAGCCATTGACAATGATAGTGATTATACTGGAGAATGTGATTCCGTAAATTATTACAAACACTGCATGAATTAGAGACACTGCAATGATTTCATTGAGTTATTTATACACTAAAATTACTTCAAATTCACTTTTGCTAACCATGGTAATACTATAAATATAAAGCAAGTCATTGTGATTGATGTACCTAACAGTTTCTTGAAGATGCAACCTCACTGGTTAAATTATTACTTTACCAAATTTCAGGTGTGCTTATTCCTTGAATTACTCTCACTGTGTATCTGGTAGATTTTAAAGACTTGACAATCAAATTATTTTCTACAGTTAGTCAAATTTTATCTTTGTTTTTCTCTACATAATGAATTATATCTATATTATAGTGCAATGCTCTTAAGTTGCTTCCACCAAGTGGTGGCCCCTCACATGATTTTTTCCAGGAGGGTCAATCGCTACACAGACTTTAAACTTTTAGCCACTTCTTCCATTTGTTCGTATGTTCCATTGTTTTTTGCTCGGCTACTAGTCCCGTCTCTACCATATGATTTTATTACTGGATATATTGCTATGGTTCACACTTCTCATTAAATAATTACCCATCATCCTACTAAAATGTCTATGCCACCAAAGTGTACAGTATTCCCCCCTTCACCCACTCTACACTTCATCACTCTTACCATATCTCATATGCTATACCCATCCCTCATTCTTATGCCAGATGTTATAAAAAAAAGGTGTTTACACTGCTAATACTCTTGAGCATCCTGCACTTTTCCACTGCCAAGTTAAACTTTGATATGTGAAAGATGTGAGTAGTAGACCATTTCTCAAGTCTTTCTTGACTCCCATAGTAACATTTCTCCTTTCATGTACAGTACTTCCATTTTTAGTAATCTCTCTACCCCCATTCCCTCTCACTTTTCTAACATATGATCCCCAATACCTTCTCTTAAAACACTACAATTATACTTTTTTCCTCCTATCTTGATCTTCAATTTTCAACTTTAGGCAAATAATTTAACAATCAGTAAGTATCCTTAATTATACAGTGAACAATATTTTCAACAGGTACCGCCAGAAGTTGAGGAGTTTGTTAAAGAATGGGTCATGAAGAACTATGAAGCTTGTAATGGAAATGCCATAGAACAAGCAATTGTTTATCGCCATTTTGCTGCTTCTATGCATTCCATGGGCCGGAAGCAGGGTCTAAATCCAGTCCTCCTCTCAAATTGTGTTAGGTAAGATAGCTGCTGGTATAGTTTGATAGTTTTGTTCATGGCAAATATTTTTTGGGCATGTAAAGAGGCATTACAGATAAAACTAATGCCAAAAAGTAAACTTTAATACTTAAATAGTGCTTTATATGGTTTGGATTAGTAGATAATTTCTGTGTGAGAATCTTGTTTTAAAAAGTATATGTACACACATGTGTTTTTCCTTTCACTGCTGATAGGAAAGTGTTTGGGACTGGTGTTGGTCCCAGTCGACGACCGGTGGATGAAGGGGCAGAAAAGTGGCACTACAATGGCATTAGGCGACGGGATGGCGTTGTTGTTCCACCAATGCCCGAGAAGAAAAGGGGCATGAGAATAAACAGCACCATTCCTGTATATACACCAACCCCAGTTATTCCTGCTGTTAACACCATTAATGCTCAGGTTACTGAGGGGAGAACTATGGGTTCCATTATGGGCTCTCCTCAGTTGGTGTCAGCAACTACAGCTCAAACTGATGGCATCATATCCCCTTCCTCACCAATTTTGAAAGCTCAGCTCTCAGCACCACTCAGACCGTCCCCACCACCACCTGTCAGACCACCGCAGGTAAGAATTTTTTTCTGTTAGTAACTGTATTATTTTTTATTTCATTTTTATTTGAAATGTTTTTGTTTACTGGAGGTGAAGTGACTAATTAGGGACTTGTGTTTACATTGAAGGGCATGGTGAGTGGCACCATGTCTCAAGGTGTGTATAGCAGTGCACAGCAGCAACAATCCCCACAGCAGTCACAACAAGTTCAAGCAGGCAGCAGAACAGATAATTCTGCTCTTATCAAGAGTCTTTTGGCCAACAAGGTAACGCCAGTGGGAGTAGGTCAGGCAGGCAGCATGGACCCTCTCCACCCCCACCAGTCTCCCCATTCACGACCCCTTCTTGTTTCCTCTACACCGCCACAGCAGCCCAGGGGTACCACAGGTGCTTTATCATATGTACAAGCACTATCCCAAGGTCCTCCAGGGCCCTTGGGACCCATGCTGAGTCCTACAAGCATGGTATCTTCCCCTGGGATGCAGGTAGTGTCAGGGGGTCTTGTTGGGGGTCTTGGGGGCCAGCATGGACCACACCAGCCACCACCATCACCAGTACAGGTAACACCATTGTTGTCTACCCATGAAGAAGAAGAATCAAGCTCTGGTGGTGAAGGGAAGCTATGCTACTGCTCTCACCTGGTGCTCCTGCCCCTTGTGGCTGTACTGCAGCTTTGGTGCCTGGTGCTGGCCTGTGTCTCTGGTCTGGTCTTGTTCCTCCCTTGTCATGTGAGGAATGGTGGCGGCGGCGGTGGTTTGGGAACAACTTTGTGTGCGCCCTGCATGTGTATTTCTGTAGTTGGGTTTTCTGAATAATACTTTTTGGCAATTCTTTCATTAACAAGACTTAACAGCAGAAACTTCTAATCTTTTGTGGTATGCTTATTCAGATTTTTAAAGGATTTTCTTGCATTTTACAGGAATGATTGAGTATGTAGGCTAATTGTTGTTAAACAAAATCTGTGTTAATTCTTTTCTCCTAAAATTGCTCTCTTCCTAATGAATGCGGCCTTTATTAACAGAGAAATTAAGTTTTGTGTGTTTTACTTGTGTATTTTACTTTTTATGATGGAAAATTTAATTGTTATATATTCATGTTATCCTATATGCATTTACTTACTGGTGAATGTACGCAAACGTTTCGGCTTACCTTTTTTATATAAATACAGTATAGTGATGACTTATCATTGCAGGTGTCAAGAAATATTCAAAAGCAGCAGTTGCAGCAACAACACACTGATAATAGTCAGGATAGCAGTAGTGACTCTCAAATTAGAAAAACAACATCCTTCAATGGAATATGTAATGAGGTAGGATTTTAAATATTTTTTAAGTTTTACGTGTTATGTTGAAATAAAGCAGTATGTAGAATTTGCTAAATAATTACTTACAATAAGAGTTCAAAAGTTGTTTACTTTCTCGGCGAGTTATGCATCACTTTCTGTGCAGGTTCAATATTATGACTTAAGACTCTTTCAGGCCTTCCTTCTACCCTTCTTTCTTTCTTTATCCCTTGTATCCCTTTCCCTTTTCCTTCCCACTTCTCTCTTGCCTTTTCACGCCACTTTTCTCTTTAAACCGACTGGCATACCAATCTGTTACCGATTGCTTCATCAACAGATTGGATTATTTCCCGTGCTTTTTTGTATTAAATGGCTGTCAGATGTTTAGATTTATCATTTTGGTAGTAATTGCTTTCTCTTCTCCCTACACCAATGGTAGGGTCTTAGGAAAGGGAACTATTAGGGAAAAGTGCCAAGCCATTAGAACTAGATAACACTTGAAAGGGATCAGAATAAGGCCTTGAGATGGGGCAGGGGGGGGGGGTGAGGAATGGGGCCCGACCACTTGTATGGTTGGGGATTGAATGCTGACCTGCATGAAGTGAGACTGTCGCTCTACTGTCTGCCTCAAGTGGTTCTTAGGAAAATAAAAATAAAAAGGGTTTTAACTGTAAACAATAGTTTTGATACCAGAAAGTTTTAAAGAATTCTTGGGATTCCCACAGAGGAAACCTGGTTGTTTATATAGGAATCTAATAAGTTGTCATAATCACTATTTCTAGTCATTTCTGAAAAGTCAGTAGTTGATAATTTTATTCTAAATGTTAAATGGAAAATCTCCTTCACTAGCGTGGTGATAATCATTATTCCATGACTGTAATTTTACTTTTTAAGTGTAGTTAAGTGTGTACTTTACTGTGACTGAGGGTGAGTACACTTTGGCTCCAGGACCCTTGGCTATCAGGTATCAGATGAAATTATTCCTCAAATTTGTAATGATCTTTTATCTTTTAATTTGTGAATTGTAGTCAGTGTATGGTAATTAAATTCTTATGAAGTTATTATGTTAGTACTGTATATTAGGACACTAAAGTACAGTTCATTATTTAATTTATATATTTTTTATTTTTTTCAGATAAAACGTTGTGAAGATGATTCAAATTCGTTTCTTTCCTCTGGATTGAATGATAAGAAAGTGACAAGTTTTGAGGGCATATTACAAAATGGGATCAAGTCTGAAATGGACTTAAAAGAGGAGGAATTAGAAACCAAAACAAAAAAGAATGTGTTGGCGGATCTTTTAGAAAAGACAGTTGGTGGAGACATATTAAACGGTGTGGTTGATCGTGAATTAAGAATTAGTGACAGAGGTCTGGAATTTGTCAACCATGGTCAACAGTTAAAAGTTAATGGTCCAATTACTTCTAATGGTCAGACTGGTATTGAATCTGTTCAAGGAGTGAAGAGGCCTGCTACTCCTGATAACACCCCAGCTAAGAGGATAGCACTGGAGGACCCAAGAGCAGGAACAGACAGTCGTATCACATTATATGTTAGCCAGAATGGAAGTGAGAGTGGCGAAGTTATTTCCCAAGGACACCAAGTTGTGTTGAGTCAAGGACAACAGTTTTCCCCAGCAAACAGTACTGCTCCACAGCAAATGGTAGTGAGTCAAGCAGTATTAACTGGGCAGCAGCAAGGAGCACCTACTCAAACTGTTGTTACACCCCAAGGCCAGGTGATCCTGCAGAGACCTGGCACTCAGACTGGTGTGATCATGCAGCAAGGTGGGCAGATCATTCAGGGAACATCTGCTGGACAAGTTATCCAGCAGGTTATCCAACAAGGGCAGTCAGGACAAACACAAAAAGTTATCCTTCATCAGGGACAGTTGGGGCAGGTTTTAGGAAGTCAAATGATTCTCTCTCAAAACAGTAGTGGCCAACACCAGGTTTTGGTTCAGGGAGGGAATAATTTTCAGGGACAAGTGATTATGCAGGGGGTTCCACATTGTCAGGGACAAGTGTTTGTGCAAGGAAATAGCCAAAATCAGTTTGTGATGAGTGGTAACCAAGGTCAGACTGTGGTGGTCCCAGGCAGTCAGGGACAACAAGTGGTAGTGTCAAGTGCCCAAGGTCAGACAATGATTGTTGCTGGGAATCAAGGTCAACCTGTAGTAGTGAGTGGACAACAAGGTCAAAGTGGTCAAATGGTGATGCCTGGTAATGTGGGTGGTACAGTACTATTGGCGCCTCAGCAACAAGGATCCACAGCAAAGACTTTAATTATTTTGCCCAACCCCAAGATGGTGCTGGCAGGTAATCAGCATCAGGGTGGCCAAGGTCAGCAGTTAGTGTTACCGCGTCAAGTGACTGGACAACAAATTGTACAAGTGGTATCTTCTGGAACAACGGTTCCAGTTGCTTCTGTTAGTACAGCAGTGAGAACTGTGCATGCGGTACCCTCTGTAACAGATGTGCGTGTGACGCCCACCCCTCCACCTGTCCAGATTCAGAGTTCTAGTGGTAGTAGTAGTAGTAGCAACAACAGCAGCAGCAGTAGTAGTGCATCAACATACAGTGCTCAGACTTCAGCTTCTTTGCCCTCTGCCATTGCTCCTGCTCCAGCTGGTCCAACAGCTGTTCCAGTGTCACAAACTTCAGTGAGCCAGGGGCCTCAGACGCCCCATGTTCCCGCCCCACAAGTGCTTGCGTCTGGTGTGGCACGACGGCCTGGAAAAGCTAGTGGCTTGCAATATTTATGTGAATGGCGTGGCTGTAGCCAAGTGTTTAGTAGTGCTGGTCAGGTGTACCACCATGCCTGCAAAGTGCACTGCCCTCCACATTTTGCAGAAATTCAGTGTGGATGGGCAGGCTGTGACCCCATGGTTAGAAGACGGTTTAGTGCCATGACTCATCTACACGATAGACATTGCAACGAACAGGTAAGTGTATCAGATTTTGTAACAATTAGCCTTAAGTCTTTTGTTAATAATTTTCTCTTTAATATTGATATCATTTAGTGTGTGACATTTTACAAATATTAATAATCAGTAACCTGTAATTTCTAAAGCTAGCAATATTTATTGCAAAGTTCTCTCATTTTTACTTTTGACTTCCAAATAATTTTTTATTTATGACTCAAATTTTCATGTATTTGAGATAACATCATTTAAGAAAGGTGTATATTATTATGGTTGGTTGAGAGCTTTAATATGGTGCCAAGATTTTATTGTAATGACTTGAACCTCTGTTTCTTAATGTCAATACTTGCTTGTGGCAAGTTGCAAAGTTAATGCTCTATGTGAAGTTTGCCCCAGTCCGTTGCCAGAATTCTCCCTTGGCTGCCTGCTAGTTTTCTATGGCTCCTTTCCAAAGAGTTTTGTGTTTTTTAATAAAATGGACCTTAACATTGAAGTACATACAGTGCTGTTTGCTGCATTTGATTCATTAGTTTGTGTTTACAGTCTTAAGAGGGAGGGTAAGGGTATTTTGAAAAGGAAACAATTATGTATAGGGAAAAGAAAGGAGGAGATAATGAGCATAGTGAGGTACAGTCCACCATTTCCACTGATGTCTTGTTCCTGGGTATTCTGCCTTCATGAGTTGGGGGTTACATTCTAAATCTTCTTGGTACTGTTATGAAAATGTGGCAGACTAGCAAGTAGTGTAGTGAATAGGGTAATGCACTGCATTTAGGGAAAGTTCATCATTTATTAATGTCATGAATTGGTTATTCCTCAATTCATATTAAACAATAGTGGATAGGTAAAGGATAATGTGTTGCACTTGTATTGCCTCAGGGAATTTAGTGTTGTATTATGCTAGTTTAGCTTGAACCTTAAGAGAGTTCTGTATACACAGTTGCTTGAAATAGAATGCACAGTATTACTGGAAAAAAAGTCCCATACTTGGAGTGAATTGCACTTTTTTGTAAACAAAACTGGAAATTGTTGTGTTTTAAATTTTCAACTTCGCTTCATGATGTATGTGTGATGTTTAATTGCAAATCCAACCATATGGTAATGTTTCAAGTGCACAACTCTTGCATGTAATCAGTATCTTAAGCTATGCATTGGTTTAATATGCTAGTTTAAAGCATTTGATGGGTTTCAAGATTATAAAATTATTTTGTTTTCTATTTCTGTACCCAAACACTATCCAGTCTTGTCATTAGGCTGCATTGTTTCTTATATTGTTCATTCTGTTAGACCTTTTATTACCATATACTGTACTATAAATTATTATTGAACATTTTTGTTAATGCTACTTATAAGTTAGTGAACATAGGTGAAGGGGCACAACATTGGTTTAAAAATATTACCATATATTGTTTGAGTATTTCAGGAGAATTAATATATATATACTCTGTATGTATATAAATATTAAATTCGATATCAAATTGTAGAAGAGGAGGAAGCATGTCAAAAGGCAGATCAAGGCACTAGTAATTAACAATTTTGTGTAAATGAAATGTCCTCCAAGGGTGAATAAAGCCTGTGTAAAGTGTGCATGTGTGTTATGTGAATGTGGGTTAAAACATTAAAAAAGTTTCCTGTTAAGAATAGTACGCATTAAAACCAGAAGCGTGAAATAAGGGTTTCTGAATTGAATGCTTTCAACTTAATAAATGAATATGATGTTACTATTACCAATAGTAAGGTTACATATAGATGGTGGAGAATTTACCATTCTACTGCAACGTATAAGATATAATTTGTAAGAAAATGTTACAGCAGTTACAAAAAAATGTATGGCAAGTTAATAATGAAATTCCTGGAACAAAAATTGAGACAAAGAGGAGGAGGAGGAGGAACGATGTAGTGTTTGTATACATGTACATGTGTAAATTATTTTAATGGAATGAGAAACTGAAGGTGAAATTAGTAGCACGGTAAATAATAGCTCATAGTTTTGAAGCGAGGGAGAGATGTGGCAGGTAAGACTTACTAGTGAGCCATGAAATACGGAAGTAGAATAGTACCTAAAGAACAAAAAAAAAGTACAGTTGGGGAGATTGGACGATGCTAGTACAAGAATAAGACGTGTTCCACCGTATAGGGGTTTGCATAGTTACAGCAAACAGATGGTGAACTATTTTTATTTTTTATATACATACTATGTAGAACATTTCAGAAGTCAAAATGTAATATAGAAAACTACTGATCATAAAGTTAGTAGTAGTTGTAGTGGTAGTGTGTTATGTAAATTTAAAACTGGCCCTGAGGAGGTAAATGATTAATAAAAGTGATTGTGTGACTATATCTACAGTAACAGTTTAGTACTGATTGTGTGTGTGTTACCACTGGTATATGATCATACATGGTGTCATGGGTGTAGACTTAAATATTTGTGTGTGTAAGGAAAGTTGTTTATTACAGTTATTGGTAAATTGTATATGGATATGTAAAAGTGCTTACTTGATCATGTTTGTGAGGAGCCAGATTCAACTCTAGAGCCCCGCCTCCATAGTTACTGTACCTGGTGCTTGTGTTCTTCCTAAGCTTTTATTTGTCTCACATGCTCTTGAATTGTGAAGTGGTTACTTCCATTATTTCTGGTTCAAGTTAATTTTATTTGTAAACACTTTCACTACAAAATATTTGATCAAATTTCTTTGGTCCACCTATTTTCAACTTGGCCTCATTCTGTTGTATCTTACTGCCCTGCCACCCCCCCAATGTCTGTCATTTGCACTGTGTGGCTGAAAGCTCTCTGCTGATTTCTATGGTGGGCAACTTTTTATCAACATCAGTGACCTTGAAGGCACTGTTTCAGCTCCTTTGCTTAGTCAATTCACTGATTTTGTTGATATGATGTGGGGCTGTCTCCAGTCCTTTCTGTGCAAGGACATTAAGCTGTAGTATCACTGTGTTCCCACATCAATATATGAAGCTTGCAGCAATCTGTACTTGGAGATTGCTCTAATGGTAGTTCAGCTTGCCATAATCTCTTCTAAAGTGGTGCTGTACATTGGTCATTTCAGAATCTTGGGGATTTGTCTTTCAGTTTTATCATATTTTGACAGCTGTAGATTATTGCCTCATTTTTTAGGGTATGGGAGATCTTGAGCTGTGCTCAGGTAAACCCGTTTTTTTAACCCGAACCCTTTTTACTGTCTCCTATGAGACATTTAAAATCTGCTTGAACAGTAAACTTTCTTAAACATCTTCAAGGAAGTGGGCACCCTTCCTTGAAGGACTTACTGCAAAGGCTATCTTTTGTTGGCACTTCCTACCAGTCATTGAGTTGGCAAGCTCCATGCTTTGCAGCTGTAGGTGGATTTTTTGTAGTCGTTGGTCTTCGCTATCAGTTTGCACCTGCAGTCTCTTTGGCAAAGGAGATGCGGCCTGTTTTTTTATTAAGCTTGATTTGTCTTGATTCTTTCCACTATACAGTGTGCTCATTTGCAGCTTTGCACTGGTACCTCCAGGGCTTCTCATTCATATTGTACTTATGATGTCAGAAGCAGAGCATTGAGTGGAATGAAGTCCTCCTTTCTATGTGGGCACCCTTGTTATGTCCTTGTTCCCCTTCTATTTGAGTTATCTTCCTAGATTATGCTTGTGTAGCTTGGTCCTAAGGTGTAGGATTGACATCACCTCTTGGCCTGTTTAAGTTTGTCTTGACATGCAGTAGCAGTCAGTATGGCAAGTAGTTAGCTAGTTATGTATGTTGAAGAGATAACTGGCTATTTGTGGTCAGAATTATTTGTAGTGGGTTGATCAGTTCCTCGGGTATGCTGTCCCATCAGAGCTACAAGACAAGACTAAAAAGTTACTTATTTGATTGGGATGCAAAGTTTACCAGAGCCAGAGTTACTGGTAATAGTAACCTGGGTAGACCCACAACTCTGGCTAGGGTAGCAACTGAGATGCCACTGAGAAAGGAGCATTTCATTCCACTTTATTGCGTGTGTGTGTATGCGTGTATGCATGCATGCATGTATATGACAGCCTGGGATACCTCTTATGATTGTCTATGATGAAAACAAGTTTTAGTATTTTTAGTTCTAATACAGTTTTCTGATACTGATGTTGGATGCCTTGCAGCTTTTACAGATTCTGGCAGTCAGACGGTCACAGTTAGCCACAACAGGGAAGACGGATATTCCCATCCCTCAGACGCCACCTCCACATCCTGGTTATGCGCCTAATGCAGCTTTTCATGCCATCAAGAGACACGCTCTTGAAGTCATAAATCAGAGAGATGCGGTGGTAAGTAGCGTTTTGATTTCTTCAACTTAATTTGTCATAATACCTAATTTTTAAATAATTATTTTTGTCATGTTTCATAAAGTAGCTACGAAGGTAAACATTTTGGAGGCAGGTCATAGAATACACAAGAATAAAGATAAAAGAGAAGGGCTGTTGGAACCTGTTGGAATCAAAAGGAAGAATGACAATGAATTAGACCATTCAAGAAATTTAAAGGCTCCTCATACCAATGGCTAGGTCATGTCCAAAGGCCAGATACAGTCCATTAGCACAGACATGTAATCACTGATACGTTTGTCCTTTTCCCTCGCATCTTCCCTCACAGACTTAACACTTTCGCGCTATCTGGACGCGCCGGCGCGTCCCGTTTCGTCTAACGCTAACGCATAGTGGACATAAAGTTGAGTCCTCTTTTAAAATATTTGTATAAAATTCAATTTTTATCCGATTTACTTTGGGTTTGTTTCAAACTGTGCGCTATGAGGCTCTCTTTCTCACCACTAGGCTGCATGGTACAATAAGTTCATGAAAGGTGTGGATAACTTCGATCAAATGGTATTTTGTCCCAAACGGGTTGCAGGTGGGTGACTTTAGCCGTTTATACTGGTAATGCTTCCCCCATATCATGTATTATATGCATATGTCTGTTTAGGGAATTTTATTCCGATCAATATACAACCAAAAATAACTGTGTGCAACAAGTATAAACTTGACAAACATAACAAAAGTAAAAACATTTCGTGTGTGTTTGACGCTCACTGATATGTTCCAGCGTTGTTTTATATTTGGCGCTATTCTAACTTACGCTTTGTTGATATTTTTTACCTATGGGCACATAGAACATTCTATTGCGAACACATTGACACAAAAATGAATGACGTACATAGAAAATTAATGTCATGAGAGTGAAATAAGTATAAACTTTCAAAGCGCCGTGCGTCGTCCCGTCACCGATACCGGGTAACAATTTCACCACTTCCCACACTCTTGCGGGCGGGCCGCATCATTATTCTACGTTTATATTCATATCACCGTGTTGGGAATTTCATTGCGAGTCCATTGATACCAAAATTAACGCTGTAGAATAAGTGTGGAGGTGATTACAATCCCAAGAGTAAAAACATTTTGTTGCTGATGGGCGCTCACGGCGAGTCATCTTCGTAGTTATTTATTTGGTGCTGGTATCCCTATACGTTTCGTGACTTTTTTTACTGATGTTCATCTAGAGAATTTTATTGCGAACACGTTGGTACCAAAATGAAATACGTAGCATGAGGACTAAGGTCAGAAGAGTAAAAAGAGTATACACATTTTTGTTTTTACGCTTAAGCGATAAAAACGCAGCGCGCACATTCGGTTGGCTGAGTGACCTTTGCGGAGAGCGCGAAAGTGTTAATAGGCAAGTCCATACTATATAATATATAGTTTGCAAAAAAGGAATTCATTTTGAGAAGTGTGTAGGGAGTGTCATTGTTGCCTATGAATTAGAATATACACTCTTATGTTATAACTTTTTACATAATTTCAATTAAGGTTATTTTTTGTCTCGACAGGAAAAGGAAGGACCCGTTACAAAAAGCATTCGTTTAACTGCCGCTTTGATCCTTAGAAACCTAGTCATATATTCTAATACGGGGAAAAAGTAAGTATAAATTAGTATTTTTTATCTTTCAACTTCACTCCAGTCTTCATATACTTGGAATTAGCCGATAACAAAATACCTCATAAGAGATTAACAATATATTTTTTTCCACCCCAGTAGATAATAATAATAATGCTGTGTAAAATAAATAAGATTTTTTTTTTTTAAATGACCCTCGGTTATTTGTAATGGAGATTGCCTATTAGACCTTTGATGAATATACATTTTATTCCTAGATATGCTTTCATTAATCACTAATCAGATGCTGTAATACTACCTGGATTCAGACACAAGAAAAACTGTACAATCACACTTATTAGTGAAAGTAAATATTGAATAAAAGGCAAATATTTATATAATGGATATTAATTGCCAGTAATAAAAATTTCCTAGTAATTAAAAATATTCTTGTAAATAAATAATTTGCAAGGATATTTTGTAGTTTACATACAATATGAAAATACAATATACATTTGGTTGGTGATGGACAAAAAAAACACGTTTCTTAACCCTTGAACTGCACAACACCTCATATGAAGTGTTGAGTAACTGACACGAAAGTGCATACCCTCTTGGAGTACTGCGTAAGATTTAAACGTCCCGCAGCTACACAGGGGTTCATATTAGCTTCCTCAGGGCTCTTGTAAACCGACACCATTTAAAAAAAAATCGTGGGCAACATTCCCGGGTGTGAAGGCCTCAGTACTGAGTGAGCCATCAAGGCTGGCACATGCAGCATGAGCTCACTGCACTGCTGTTCAGCTTGTGACCACAGCATCGCCTAAAAATTTGAAAAAATATATGTAACTGGTATTATTTAGTGATGATAGTATTACAGAAGACCTCTGAGATAAAAATGACCAGGATTCTGATAATAGCAGGATTGTTGTGATAATTTGCACTGTGCTATGGGAGAAGTAATGTTGTAGCGTCGTCTGCCAAATCTGTGTGGCCACTTGTTACTGATTGCACTCACCATATCAGCTTGGTGGTTCACTATGGTGAACATAAATGTAGATACTTATATATAATGTGTATATATAGTGTAATAACAGCAAAAGAGCAATAGTTTCCCAGTGATGACAAACTATACACAAGAGCAAGTGGCAGAACTGCATTCTCATATTACCAAAAATATGGGGACAAAACTGAAGAATGTAATAGTGGATGCAATGTTTCCAAGAGGATACCAGGTAGTAAGAAGTAAGAAGAAAAGAAAGAAGAAAATAGAGGCCCTACTGATACAAACATTGGAGTGTTGAGGAGATCCCATAAGATAGTGATAGGTGTTATTTACAACCCTCCATAAACAGGAAGTTCAAGGGAAGAATATGATAAATGCAATGAATCATGCCTAAAGATTTTATGAAAGGCAGCCACAGTAACAAGGAGAGTCAGAGCAAAGATCCTAATAGTTGGGCATTTTAAAACCACGGAAATACTGGCCATCAAAGGATCTTCAAGGAAGAAATGAAACATGGAGAGCAAAATTTGTGAAGATTACAGACAAACACATCTTGTGGAGGGAGGGGTGGGGAGCTACCAGCTACCCTAGATCTGGGACCAGATTCACAAAGTAGTTACGCAAGCACTTATGAACGTGTACATCTTTCCTCAATCTTCGTCGGCTTTGGTTACATTTATTAAACAGTTTACAAGCATGAAAACTTCCCAATCAATTGTTATTGTTATAAACAGCCTCCTGGTGCTTTGGAGCTCATTAACTGTTTAATAATTGTAAACAAAACCTCCAGAGATTGAGAAAAGATGTACACGTTCATAAGTGCTTGCGTAACTGCTTCATGAATCTGGGCCCTGGTGTTTACCCAAAATGAATATGACATAAATTTAAAATTTAAGACCTACTACTAGGACGCACTGACCACTAAGTTACCATGTTTGATTACACTGTAGAGTTGTAAAGAGAGTTGGAAAAAAACAAGGAGCAAGAGAGAATACAGACGAGTTAACTACAGGATGGTTAGGGATTACCTGCAGAAAGTTCAATAGGAGACTGAAATGCAAGGAGAGTCAGCAAATGGAACTCATAATCCAGAAAATGCAAAGAAGCAGTGGAACAATTCATACTTCTCAGGAGGGAAGTGGGCATAAGGAGAACAGCAAACCCATGGTTTAACAGTGTAAGAAGAAGACAGAAAAGACAAGGAAAAAGTATAGGGACATGAATGCAGAGGCAAATAGGGAGGCACTAAAAGAGGGGCCAGGAATGAATATACAAGAATCAATAGGGGCAGCAGTTAGTTACATTACACCAAAAGCAAAGTCAACCTAAGCTGTTGCACAGCCATGGGCGGAGGAAAACAGTGGTATGAGACCATGTGGTTAGACTGTAGGAAGAAGGAGGAACACTCTTCGAGATTGACAGTGTTGTGTGAAGAACTCAGCAAGAGGTTTTAGGAAATCTTTAAACCAGAACCAGATTGGTGTCCAAGTAGAGGTGACAACTGATGACTAGAAACAACATGAGACAAAATTGAAGTTAATATAAAAAGAGGTAAAAAGATACCTCAAGGAATTGTTGTACCATTGAATTGCTGTTTTGGTACAGCTACTACTTTTGGTAGTAGGGGATGACAGGAAAGGCACTGGATGACTGGGTACAGAAGTACCTTGACAGGGTCATAGTCAGATAGGATATGTCAGGCTGGAGAGGAGTGAAAAGTGGTATTCCACAAGGCTCTGTCCTAAGATCACTGCTGTTTTTATTTCATGTAAATGACCTCGCACATGTCTATACTAGTATTTTCATATGATGCAAAGTTACTGAGGAGAGTAGGACCTGAAGAGGACTGTAAGATGCTACAAGGAGACCTCAAACTTCAGGAGTGGACAGATAAATGGCTGCTGGAATTCAGTCTAAATATGTGCAAAGTAATGAAAATGGAGAAGGGGGTACCTGCTGCTTGGGTAACAGCTTCTTCCCTGTATCAACCTACCCTGGCTTTGCACCCTGGAGAGGCCACCACAGTTAGACAACCAGAGCACAATTCCATAGTCTCTTGAGACTGATGGATGCCTACTACTACTACTATTAATGAAAATGGTTAAGGTAGATAAGAGACTTGCATGAATTCCATATGGAGAAGGCAGTTACATGAAACAATAAGAGAAAAAGACTTTGGAGTAGACTTTATCACAACACTAACACCAAATGCTCATGTGAATGGGCTAACATGAGCAACATACAGGAAGTTAGCAAACAAAAGAATGTCATTGAAGAATCTAAACAAGGAGGCTTTCAAGTCTGTCTATGTGAGACTTTACTTGAGTATACAGCTCCAGCATAGAACCCACACCTTGTAAGCATAAGCAGAAACTTGAGAGAGACTAGCTGGATGTGATGTGATATGATGTGACCAATGGAGTCTTGATTTTTTTTTATGGTACAAATAAAATGTGCAATAAGGCAGTGAGAGAGAGCAGTGGTGACATGTCAGTATTTTTATTTTTCTTTGATATTCTGTATTTGGAAAATTTATGAACATCTGTACACCGTATTTTCTACAAATGCAGGTAACTTGTCAGTGATGGTTTCTGTAAGCAGGAAACCTAAGAAAAATCATTCAGTGATGACATAAGTAGAATGAGCAAAGGAAGGTGGAGAATGGAATTCTGAGAAGTATTACATGCACTGAATACCAAGTGAGCAAGACTGTTTTCAGATAATAGTAAAATCTTTGACTATTTTTTCTGGAAGTGAAGCCGATAAAAGCAGTACATGATAGAAAGACAGTAAGAAAAGCTAAGGTGTAGTGCTTAAGTGGTACTGGCAGATGCGTGAGAAGATGTTAAAGCTAGTGGCATTCTGGCTGCTCATTTATTTATTTATTTATATATACAAGAGTTCTTACATTCTTAAACAGTCACTACATACATAGCATTTTGGGCAAGTCCTTAATCCCAATTTTCACACACATCCCCAGGAAGCAGCCCATAGCAGCTGTCTAATTCCCAGGTACTTATTTACTGCTCATAGAAATAGCCTGGGAATTTTGCAAGTCACTGGAAATCCCTGTGTAGTATTTGCATTCTGGAGGATGGCTTAAGAGCTTGAATAATAATCTTCACCTTTGCAAGCAGATCAGAATGCTTGTATTAGTACAGTACATAAAAAATAATAGTCTAATCTTTCCTGATGACAAATCACTTTGCCAGACACAACAGATTATTCGTCCGGTCTATGTCCTCAGGTGTCTGGAATCCTTGTGACTGTAATTAATTGTTCCATTACAAAAGCAGAGGTCATAATTGGGAAATTATAAGAAATTTGATGTACTTAAAATTATTCCAAAATAATTATAAGTGAGATCCAGTAACTAGTGTGACTCTTCTATGATAAAAACAGTTGTAGACTGGTTTTGAATTACCACTTTTTGTCATCTTGACATCTGATCACCATCGAAGGGTGTATTGTGTCAGCCAGGGTGGATACATACATAGTCTCACACCAGCTGTTTGCCTCTCTTTCAGGGGTATATTGTGATTTCATCTGGGTGGTTTACTAGGTACTACAAAATATACACAATGTTATGTTGTAATTTAAAGTAATAATTTGAAACTATTAGTTAAGCACTTTTTATATATACTTTTCCAAAATATTGAGCCTATAAATCGATAGCCATTTTCTAAATGGTTTTTTAATTTGCAGATTACTACGAGGATACGAGTCTGAGTTAGCAAATGTAGCCCTCAGTACAATGGAATCTTCGCGAACAGTTGCACAGATCCTTTATGACATTCGCCTTCCTGATCACCAAAACCTGTAGTCTAGGGAGGTTTCAGAAAGTAAAAATATAAATTAAAATCCTCTCACAGTAGGGTAAAATTACCTCCCTGATATTCTTGATCATGGGATGGTACTTAAAAGTGGCATCATGTACACAAATTATTTGAGGGCCAATTAAAGTGTTCTATGCTGTCCATAGTACGTTTTGTGAACTCTTAATTCTCCGTGTGATGGTACACTCGATTGTAATATATCAAGTCCATGAAATTGGGCACATCAATAGTGCAATTATTTAAGTATTGACATTGAAATGAGAGTGACTGAGAAATGAGTATTGAGTGGTATTTATATTGTGACAGTGACTATTTGGATGATAATGTCCTTGCTTGTTGGAGACCTGCCTTGTAGTTTATTCATTCCTTATGTTAGACTTTTGCATTTAGATGATAACCTATCATTGTATAGAACTCAAGGTTAAAGTCTGTGGTATAATTTTTAATATTTATTTTTTAATTAGCCCATTTAATTTTTTTTTTTTAAGTTACAGAGCTTATGTAGATATTGACTGAATGCAGTGTAAATGCTACTTTAAAGGGTTATTTTAATAAGTAATCTCACATTGCTAAATTTAGCTCTTTTATGACCAGTTTAGCATGAAGGTGGATCTGTAAGCACAGTTTTGTAAATTTTGTACACATTGTATAAATAAAATAAATTCTGTACATGTAGATTGTAATAGAAACAATTTCGTCTGCTAAAAGCAAGTTAAAGACAAAATTTCCTCCAGTACACATGCTTGAGAGGCAGCTGAGGGTAGTGGTGCCAGCACAAGGTCCAGAGATGTAAATGAGGGTTTTGTATATTGTACAGAGTGGACCTAGTTAAAAAAAAATATATAAAATACAAATAAAAAACTCTTTGAAAAGGAAAAAGTTGTGATACCAAATATATAATTTTTTTTTAGAGAAAACTTCAACTCTACATGAAAAACTTAATTCTATTTTCTATCATTATTTGTAGAATTATAGATAGTAGTATATTATTTTTTACCAGTTTGACATGTATGATGTAGATACTGGGCAGTAAATACTGATTTTTATGGATTATTTCTATTATACAAGAAGCATATACTCTGTGCATCAAAATAGTTATGAATGGAATTCAATGAATGAAAAAAAATGTACATTTCTCTAGATTATTATAGTCTTCATATGAAAATTACCATTAAAACTCCGTACCTGAGTCATACTTCACACAGATTATTGTTCTACTAGTAAATGTTTTCCTAAAGTTGGGATAGGAATGCAGGTATCACAAGGAGCTGCGTTATCCCATGTAATAGTAAATAGTTAAAAAGCTTTACGATGACAGGCTTGTGTCTAACCAAGGTTACTGCTGCTGCCATGATCTTGGTAGAAATTCTGACTTTAGGGATTATTTGCACATAAATGGCTAGGTATGTGTTTTGTATATGGTGGTTGTTTCACAAACTTTACTCACAGTAGCACCATTAGGTGTCAGGTGGACATGTAAGTGTGGGCACAAACTAGGAGTCGTCCAATCATTATCTCCTTTGTAACTACACTACTGTAATGGTATCTGACTAATGGTTGTGCAATGTATACAGCTTTTTGAATGGTGCTGATGACTTATAGTGGGCATGGCAGCAGCAGATATCATGCTACACTTTTGTATCATTCCCAGATGAACATTTCTTTATCAGACTTTTACTTTCCTGATGCACTGAGCTGTGTCTTCTGTTAAAACAACTCGCCAAACATTATTATTTTTTTTTCTAATAAAATATTGTAAATGTTAATGTAAGTTTTCATTAATGAATCGTGGAAACTTCATTGCTTTCTCATTTATCCCATTAATCATCATATATGCAAGTAACGACCTTAAGTTCAAAGTGAGGATTAGTATGTAACACTGTGTTATAGCTTAATGGCAGGAAACCCCACAAGGGTAAAAGACTAGGGAAGCATTGTAGTGTTTTTGTGATTGTTACAGGGATAACTTTGTGAGTGTTGAAGGGATAACCAAGTTGTATCACGGTGACAACAAATGTGATGAGCGTAGGAGTATTGTGATAATTGTAACCAGTGTTATGAGAGGACTGACCTGAGGCAAGATTTAATAATTGAGATCGGCTACCCTCTTTACCACCGAGTGAAAATATTAGATTTTAGTGTTGAGGAAATTGATCCAAAAGTTGAATATAACAACATTTGTGGTAATAGAAAAAACAATCGGATAGATGTTAACATGATTGTTGAAACTGATCTGAGGTAAAATAGAGTAACCTGTGGAATGGACATAGAAATATTCAACATCCTCCCAGTGAGTACAAGAAATATTGCTGGAACAACTGGATATCTTCAAGAAAAAAACTAGTTTTCTTCAAGAAGTGCCGGACCAATTGGGCTGCGGTGAATATGTGGGCCTGTGGGCCACTTCAAGTAACAGCCTGTTGGACCAAGCTCTCGCAAGTCAAGCCTGGCCTTGGGCCAGGCTTGGGGAGTAGAACAACTCTCAGAACCCCATCAAGCAGATATTGCATGAATAAAATAACGTGACCAAAACAAAATTTATATGCAAGTATAAGATGGCAAGTGAAACAAATAAGATTAAACAAAGAGAGAGTAACACCAGTGGGAATGTATACATAATGGAAGATCAACACTGGAGGATGAAGGGAGCAGAAAACCAAACTGAAGTAACCCCTTTGATATTGTTCTGTGATGGGATGCAAGATGGTCTTTATTGGTTTATCACACTAGCTTAAAATACCTAATGTGCACTTTTTGAGCTAGACTAAGATGTGAAAAATGGGAGGAGAAAAGGGTAAATTTGGAAGAATTAAAAAATGAAAAGGGGGTGATGTGATGGATAGAATGCTAGAAAGACAAGTAAACTAGGCCACTTAGGACCTTTAAAGCAAATTGAAGGCAGAAGAAATAATGACAAATTAGTGATAAAATTAGATAGTTTTCCATCAAGAAGTGCAGGACCAACTGGACTGTGATGGACATAGGGGGCCTGTGGGCCGAGTTTGGAGACTAGAGTTACTCTCAGAACTCCATCAAGCAGGTGATGGAGATAGTGACACTGATGAGACAAGGAAATAAACGGAGAAAATATAAAAATGAATAATTGGAAACGGAACAAAGTAGAAAAAATAATTTTTTTTAAAACCAATGTAGGAGGTAGTCTACATTAAAATTGAAATTCAGTAATATTGTACATTAAAAATACCCGAAGCATGTGGCAAACACCATAGCACAAGAATGTCAATACAATGTACTGTATAAGGTAAGTATGGGTAATTACAGAGTATGAGCTTAACAGGAATGACATTTTTAATTGCAAGTTGAGCTGCCTATCTGCATTTTATATTCTGCTAATAAGTAATTATCAAAAGAAGGCACCAAGCTGGGAAGGCTATGTATCACCATCAAATGTGCAGGGTATTCATAGGGCGCTAAATATCACTAAGGATGCCAACATGAGAACAAAAGCGCATAAGTTTAACGGTATCAAAGGTATCCGATTCACCAAGAATTCTGTCAAGGGACAAGACACGTGCACGTCCTGGAAGTCCGAACAGTCAACAAGCATGTGCAAGACCGTAAGAGGGACAATAAGGAGCAGGGCGGCACTCCATTAAGTGCCCGAGTTAAATGTGTGTGGCCAATGTGTAATCTTGCCAAGAGTCATTTCCCACTGCCAGTTACGGACGTAGGAGGAAGGCCATGGGGGGACACTACTCTTAAGAGCACGCAGTGTGTTACCAGTAACAGAAGACATACGACCCTATCAACGGGCAAGGATTGAGGAATAAATAACTGGGTAGAAGTCGGAATAAGGAACAACCTTACAGGATAAGGGACAAATGCGGATAGCCTCCTCAGCAGCAGCGTCTCCATGTTCATTTAAGGACACACCAATATCTTGAGGTTATCTTGAGATGATTTCGGGGCTTTAGTGTCCCCGCGGCCCGGTCCTCGACCAGGCCTCCACCCCCAGGAAGCAGCCCGTCACAGCTGACTAACTCCCAGGTACCTATTTACTGCTAGGTAACAGGGGCATTCAGGGTGAAAGAAACTTTGCCCATTTGTTTCTGCCTCGTGCGGGAATCGAACCCGCGCCACAGAATTACGAGTCCTGCGTGCTGTCCACCAGGCTACGAGGTTCCCTCAATATGGCTGGGGACCTAGCAAAACTCCACTGTCTTAAATCTGCTGGAGATAAGAAACGGCTAATGTTGAATTTTGACTATCACAGGATGGACTGGATTAAAGGACTCTAGAGCCATGAAGGCACTGCGAGAGTCAACTACAACAACAAAGGAAGATGGACAGTGAGAAAGCAGTTGATGAAGAGCATACAAAATAGCATAAAGTTCTACCATGAGATGCTAGTTTCTGGAGGCAGGCAACACATACAGATGTGGTAAAAAAACAACAGAGTAGTCTACACTGTCTGCAGACGTAGACCTATCAATGAAGATGGGAGTGTGAAGAAAAGTGTTCAAGAAAAAGGTGTTTCAGAACTGTAGGAGGGGTAAAAGCTTCAGTCACATGGGTCAAAGTTCTAAACTCGAGGAGGAGCCTCTACGGGAGCAAGGACGGAACGACACGAGGAGAAATATTGGTATCACAAACCAAAAGAGAATCTTGTAAGCGAGATAACCATATAGAAAGAAGGAGGTGGTGAAGGGGAACAGGGACCACAGGAGAGATAAAGGTCAAAGTACGACATAAGCGAGAGTGAGGGAGTTAGAAGGACCATGCAAGGTAGCGAAGTCGGTAGTGATCATGGCGATCCTGTAGAGAGAGGACCCCAGTTTCAAGATACATACTTAAGGTAGGAGCCGAATGAAAGGCACCAAAGCTGAGGCGTAACCCAGTAGGGTACAGAGCATCAAGACGGCAAAGAGTAGGAGAAACAGACGAGTAAGCAGGGCAATCATAATCGAGTTTAGACTGTACGAGAGAGGAATGTAGAGAGATCATAATCTGCAAAACTAATTACTTACTTGTTCTCTCTCCGCATACCAACATGATACAAGCAGGCTAATAATGTCATCAGATATTAAATGATGTGTGTACTAATAATGTCATCAGATATTAAATGATGTGTGTACATAGATATGCACTGATGTGTGTGTATAGTGTACTGTATGTTCACTTTTAAGATTTAAGCTCAAATTTGGAAGGATTCTCTTAAATTTCACATGTGTAATGTTTGTGTATAGTTCTACCATTGGGTGCAATTATTGCATGATTGATGCTTACTGCATAGGGTGAAAGAAACTCTGCCCATTGTTTCTCGCCGGCGCCTGGGATCGAACCTGGGACCACAGGATCACAAGTCCAGTGTGCTATCCGCTCGGCCGACCGGCTCCCCAAAAAGGCTAAGAAGGGAGCTGAACTTCACGTCCAAAACAGAAGAGTGAAGGGACACATGATAACCACCTGCAAAATTCTCATAGGAATTAACAGGGGTAGACAAAGACAAACTCTTTAGCACAGGTGGAAACTTGGTACCCAAATGAGCCACGGAGGCATTAGAAAGAATTTTTTCAGTGTCGGAGTGGTTAACAAATGGAATGCATTAAGCAGTGATGTGGTGGAGGCTGACTCCATACACAGTTTCAAATGTAGTTTGATAGAGCCCAGTAGGCTCAGAAATCTGTACACCAGTTAATTGACAGTTGAGAGAGGCGGGACCAAAGAGCCAAAGATCAACCCCCCCCGCAAGCACAACTAGGCGAGTACATTTTTACCACAATTCTTTTGTGCCACTGCTCTTCAATTAGCCATCAAATTATTATTATTATTCATATAGCGAGACCTTGTTCAGCTAAGTACCGGAGCTCCCTATTGTGTTTAAGTTTTATTATACTATGCAGTATATTCTTCAGAACTAACAGTAATACATAAAAATTTACACTAATGTATATTGCCAGCACCTGAGAGGTACTCTTAAAATTACAGATCTTAATTTTCCTATAATTTCCTTACTCTTATTTGTGTTGATGCTCACTTCATTGGTTTGAAATCTAAGGCATTGAGAGTAAAACTTCTGATATCCTGAACAGTTTAAAAGTAAAAACATGTATTAAACAAAAATTAGCATTATAAAATTCTCCAAATTTCTTTATTTGTAATCAAAATTATAATTAGTATTGATGAAGTTGAGATAATCCACAGGAGCCATGATGAGGATTCGAACATATGCGCTGGGGTGTTCCCAGATGCACGCTCTAGTCAACTACGCCACAAAATTCTCATCCTCTTGTGGATTTTCTCACTGATATATCACAATAATGTGATTTCTCTGTGTATTGATAACGTTCTTAATAATGGCAAAAGAATTTCAGATAGACTAATAAAATATTCTTATTTGTTTGTGTTATTATAAACAGAATCAAAATATATACAGTATATTTTATCACTAACATTCCAGCCTATTGGTACATTCCTGACCTTAAACATTCTGGGCATCTCAGGGATCCTGCTAAACTATGGCTAAAATGTTTATACCTCAAAAATTGAGAAAACGTAAAAAGTATACAAGCTACATAAAAATAAAAACTATGGAAATGTGTGCACATCACTGGTCTATATGAGAGTGAAAAGAAAATGAGCATAACATTTAACTGCAAAAAATAATGAAAATATTCACAAACTGAGTACAGTAATTATTATTTTGAGTGGCAAGTAATTGACTAGTTTTTATGTCTGGATAGTCCCCTGATAACTTAATTCATGCACTGCGGTTAAAAAAAAAAAATATAAAAAATACAGTACTAATTAAAAGTGATTTTTGGTAATATGAGACGACTCATTTTAGTGTCATCGAAATGTTTATTGTCGGAGTACGAAACTAATATGTTGATATATGTACTAAATACAGTACATATACATAAATATAACTTCATCCCAAGAGAAAGTATCTTAGGCATTATCTCTTCTTTGAATAGCTTGAAAATTTTGGAGCCTAAATACAGTAATAGTCCATTCAGGGAGCTTGCCTTCAGTATATTCTCTGTGAAACCTGAAACAAAACATGCATAAACTACAGTATTTAAATTTTAACCTGGAAAATAAGCACATGATAATGTAAATATTAAATTCTTTCCTACTGGAAAACAGTAAATAAATATTCAATCCCATAAGCTACTATAACAAACCTCAAAAACTACACTGAGCAGTCATCATCCCAATTTCCAAGCTACTTGGTACCAAACTGTGAAAAACCTCAACTTGGCTGGATTCATAAGTGCATCCTCCCATCCAGTATAGTTTAAGGTTTCAGTACTTATCAAGGGGGTATAGGTGTTCCCCATGTACAATCTTGGAATGATTTCTTGAATAAATATGCTGGTACTAACAGAAGTTGAGGTTTGAGGCCGAGGTGCTATGGTCCAGAGTTACATGGAGCTCACGTGACAGCTTTCTTTGAAGTCTCTTTGGACGTTGTCTCAAATCATCAGTCTTAACTTTTGAAAAGTCCGTTTATACTGTACACTTATATTGTTTATTTCTCTGTGACATTTAAACAAATTTCAAAGCACCTGTACACTTCCTCCATGTTTTCCTTGTGAGTTTTATTCTCCTCCAGCTCCTGCAAATTACTCTGGTTATTTTCTGTCACTATATGTGTTACTCAAGATTGTCTATAATCAAATCTTTTCTGAGTTCTGGCAATATTATTTCCTTAACATAAGCAAGACGTTCTTGTCTTTTCTTTCTCTAACTGATATTCTGTTTCAAGAGCTTGAAATTTTGCAATGCTGTCATCTCTTGATGAAAGAGCCCAGCCATGGATATAAAGAGCCCAGCCACGAATCAAAGTCAATTGCCTGACTTTGTCTCATGCATGTGCAATACCCCATACAGCTGATTATACATTGACAGCTCAAGTATGGTATTATGTTGAGTTCATCAAGCAGCATTTTTTGGGGGAACGAGGTTCCAGAGACGTAATCCCTTAAGACAGATAGAATTACTTTGAAACTGAAATAATTATATTAGTTCATATTCAATTTAGTGTATAAACAGATACAGTTGTTCAAATACTAACTATACCTATTTCAAGGATCTTAAATTAGGAAAACACTTAAAACTTACCTAACAAAATATTCCAGAACAATTAATGAATGTTTGTCCACATTGTAAGGCAAGCGAGTTCCTACTACAGTTACATCAATATCACAATACTTTCGATCTGAAAAAATTAGGCACTTTAAATAACTATTTTTGTTTAATTTCTTTGTTTTACTAACATGCTAGTTTTTCTTTTTTATCTTGTCAACCTTTCTGTGCTAATCACTGTAAGAGTTTTAATAAGAGAAATATCTGGTAACCTTTTCTACATTTGAGAGAGAATTACAGTAGTATTATGTAAGGAGTATCAGTTACATCCACAAGAGTTATTTTAATATAGAAGAGTGCTGTATATTGTACACTTCTATATTTGTAACATTTATAGCCTTAGGGCAAATCAAAGGTCACATGATGATGATGACACATTTCAATGTATACTTTCTGTACTTAAAACAAAGCAAAGTCACATAGGTTACTCTTCTTCACTGAAGGGCTTGCAAGTTGGCGTATTTTCTCTTCAAGTACAATATAGTCTCAATATTTTTGTCATAGCATCTCAAGTTTCTGTCTATGTTGCTAATCAAGTGATTTAATTCTATGTTGTCTCTCTCTTCTATTCCACAGCCATGGAAAAATATGGAACCACCATATTATTTTCCAAACATGTTCAATCTCCATCCATTCAAGAAATATTGTTGAAAGTATAATTTTATCTTGATGTTTTCTTTTCCTATGGTTATGCTAAATAGGCAAGTTTGCCTTAGCAATAAAAAATTTATCAAAAATAAATAGGGCATTAAGTAATTATCAAAAATAAGGTATCAAGCCAGGAAGACTAAGTAGCACTGTCTGTGTCACAGAATAGGTGTCAAGTGAAATTAAATGCTGCTTTCTAAGCCAGTCCCTATCTTGTTTCCTTGTATCAATGGCATACATGTGGGGTCCACAGACAATTCCATACACCAGGGTATATTGACTTGTTCACCCTCCATAATCAGTATCTTTTCAAATGTCTGGTCTTCAGGTTTGGAAAGAGTGGCAAATCTTGAATTTGAGCCATATAGAGAAACCAGTTCACTATAATACAAAAGAATGAATATTAGACTCAATGAAATCCCTCCAAGAAAACTTTAAATCAAATAAATTCTCACTGCCAAATACTGGCTGGGCAGTTGGCCACTCTCCTAAGATGGTAGCAACACCACCACAACAGGGTCAGTGAGGTTGGCAATCTCATTTGTTGCCAAGGCAACCCAAGCATGCTTGAAATAAACAAAAGGGGAAGAAATAGTCAGTCATGGGATCAGCTAAAAAAGATAATTTTATTTCATTTGATGCTCTATTTCTGAGCTAAGGCCACTTGGATGCTCACTTGAGTCAACTTCAACGGCAGAAACAAACATATATAGGTACTAAATAAAACAAAGGAGACAGATCGAAGAACATTCAATCCCAATCACCAGTTTTCATGGAAACCAGAGAGGGAACAGCTGAGGCACAAAACTTACCCAAGAAAACCCACACGTGCAGAAAAAGAATGCTGGACACCCAGAATGCTCCTCCACAGCCAAAATGGCAAGAGCTTTCACAACCCCCCACCTGCATGGCAAAGAGGAATGCTATACCACAAAAAGAAAAAACAGAAGCTCCAAAAGAAGGCATAACCTACAAATCAATAGAGTTGTTTGTGTGCCTATAGCAGCATTAACAACCCCACGGAGAGACCACTCTGCCACCCAATGGGAAAAAAGGCGCACATGTACACCATATTCCAGACAAAACCAAGGAGATCAATGACCCCACCAAGACCAACATTGAAATTTTGGTCTATATTAGATTCAAGCAAGCATTAGTTTGACTAAAGGAGTTTGCGTGTTACAGTACTGTAATTGGAAATCGAGTAAAACATTACTTAATTACTTATTGATTTATAATTAAACAAATGTGCAAGTTTTAGTGCAAATAAAGAAATCTGAAAATTAAAAAGGCAGAAAGATATTATATACATGTGTAAATATTATTTATGTAATGTATTTGTGAAAAGTTTTTGCAAAATATCAAAGTCAACAATTTTTAATTGAAAACTTACCAACAATCTTTTGCAGGGATACATTGTTCAGCTGTATAACTTGAATATTTGCAGCAGACAGAACAAGGTTGTTGACCTGTATTGACATGATATACATTAGAGAAACATAAATGATCCAGTAAATATTTTTGGTAACTACAGTACTGGTACTGCATTACGTGTAGACCCACAGGCCTGGCTTGCTTATGGAAATACAGTACCAGTGTAGGATCAATATGAGAGCCTTTACTCAAGCCTCTGGCCCACAATGCATCACTACTTTGTAGTTTGACACATTTTATGATCCTTCACATACAATGCTAACATATGGTAAAGTCAAATAACACTGCATATTTCATGCTGGATGCACGATTGTTGGAGTATGGAGTACTGTATATAAATGATGCTACAGGTATCAGTCACATACCAAATGGTCTTTAAAACAAGTAGAGTACTGTATATGTACTGCATTCGATGTTTACAATGAGGAATGCTATACTGTGTCATGAGGTGTTAAAATATTTGTAAGATATTCAATAATCTCTTCAAGCTATGTTAATTTAAGGGGCCAGGTGCACAATTTCTCAACCTTCCTCAAACATTCTGAATTTTTGTGTGCATAATCTACATGGTAAATGCTCCAACTTTCTTAATGGTTCAATATCATAACATGAACAGAACAACAAAAAATAATAAATTATAGATACAAAATTGAGAATTTCACAATTTCAAATTAAGTTCACGAATTTAATATTTCACCAATTTTTATTTTATTCACTATGGGCTTAAAATGGCATATAACATTCACATGCCTCAATATAAAATTTAGTTTGAGAGTATAGTTTACTGTAAAAAAATAGTCAATGTGGCCTTTAAAATGTGTGCAAAATTTAGACACTAAAATGTATAACATCCAAAGTTATGGGTTTATGAATAAACACTATTGATGACACCTTAGAACTAAGAACTTTGCACATAATTTGTAAAAATGGTGAGAATCAGTCAGAAACTGGATTTTTAAAGTCGTCTAATTGAAGTCGACATTTGAAGTTATCGACAATGAATATGGTACAGTAGTTCTAATTTATGAATGTGCTTCTATGTTTTAATAAACATTACTTGGTATTTGTACTTGAATATGTGAAAGTTGTAGGTCAATATGTGTTGAAATGAAGACAAGAAAAAATTACCCAAAAAAAACAAAATATAGGGATAAGGATAATGTGTTAATAAGGATAATAAGTATACTTTATATAAGGGATAAGGCCAGCTTCTGGTCCCCACTCATTAATACAACCTAAAGAGACAAAGAAAAACGAGCTTTAAAATCTGTAAATAACTCCGCTTAAAAAATTTAAAAGTCACAAGTTCTGCCACCTGTGGCTGATTTACATGTTGCCAAGTTTCGTTCCAACTTCACATCCTTAGTGACGGGTATGCATTCTCAAAGAAGTAGAAGCCACAACAAAATCAGATGAGAAACAAAGGAGAAAAAGAAAAACAAAAAACTAACCCCCTCCCAACAAAATTGTTGGACACTGGTGGAAGTAACAGATATTGGCATAAGCCAATGTATTTATATGATATGTATAACAAAATACTGCATAATAACATACTCATTATTATTTGTGTTATTATGTAAAACTCAGCAATGATAGAAAGGCATCAGCTTCATATGCACTTTGTGGACCCTTCTTACTATTATTCTTTTTCTTTGTGCATCAAACAAATGCTTGCATCTCTCTATTACTGCATTATCCCTCAGTTCCATTTAATTGGCGCTGTTCTTATCATCAGAACGATTTTTTTTAATATTCATATAAAATTCATTTTTTAACATATTGGAATGAACCTTTCATGACGCTGATGCCAAATAATTGGTGTTTTGTTTAACATTTTCAAGTAATTTTCACATAATTTGAATATTTTTAGAAGGTAAAAATATCTATTAGTGCCGAGGCAGTGAGTGAGAGGAGTGAGAGAGGCACTCTCACCTATTAGTGCCTTTTAAAACAATAAATATTCAGAAACCTGATATCCTTAAAAGAGCAAATTATTTTAGTGTCATTAATACTGATCAGGCATTTCATATACAGTACAATATTCCAACTTGCTTTTCAAAATTACATTTTGTGATTATGGTAACAATAGATGTCAAAATAATATGATCTCCCATCTTTGTCATGAAAACATCTACAGTACTTTCCTGTTTACTGTACTGTTTTATGAGATTTAATTCAAGTAAAATCATTGTATTTTTGTTTACTTCACTGTACAGCATGCTATTTTCCATGTTTACTACACTGTATGGCATGCGAGTCCTTATGTCACTGTATCATATGTATGTGTTATTATACATGCCAGTTTCCATGTCAATTTTGCAGCAACCATTGAAATATTCTTCTTACCCAGTAGTGTAGTTCCATATTTTCTGGGTGCTTGGAATTAAAGTCTCTAATTCAGTCACATTAACTACTCTCAATTCTATCATCTGCTGAAGTACAATCCTCCCATGTTCAATGGGAGGATTGTTTAATCCTTTGTTTAATCTGTTAAGCCTTAACAGATTAACTCTTATACTGCCTGTAACTCATATTAATCTTTATAATTTAGGTCTGACATACCTGGTCACTAGTCCACTTTGTTCTTCTGATTTTATCAATGGCTTTCTGTGTCAGAAGTCCACAGAGCTCTCCCCAGTCACGTCTGCTGACAAGTTCTGTCACAGTACAAACAGCCTGAAAACAAGTAATTAGATTTTTAATTAGTATTTTATAAGTACTGTAGGTACTAATGCTAGATTTTCTCTCACAATCATCAAGAAAGTACTGTACTGTATTGCATACCATTTGCCAAGACGTGAAGGTTAGTTACAAGAAATCTACACATATAGGCATAAAATAAATGCTGCCATAATATAATATGAAGAATGAAGCATAATTCAGCATTTTGCTATTTATCACTTACCTGTCCAGCTCCAAACTTGAAAGAAACTAAATCAAAACTTGGATCCCATTCCCTTTTAAGTGTGGCAATTTCCATGTGATTATGGAGCCACTTAAAAGGATTTGGGATATAAAATACTTTCATTCTTGTTTGTGGAGGATCCCTTCCTGAGCTCTGTTGAATGCTGCAAGTTGTGTGAAGGTTGCGGCAGCATACCCTAGACAGCCAAAAGACATGTTGTGTACAATTTTAATACAAGATGTAAAATTTTACTATTATTAAAACTTATCATTATTATGTAGTTCAAAAATGACATAACAAACAGAACCTGGACAGCTAAGGAAATTACTATTATGAAAGTTCTATGAAAATCTATTAGACTGTAACACGTCTTATTTCCTATAAATTATGAATTGGATAAGGCAAAAACAACCTCTTATTATCTGTTTACTCTTAGACTGGCGTGTGTACTAAATTTACTATATCATTGTTTGCAAGCGCTAAGATCACCAAAAGTATTATTATATTTTAATAAGTTCGGCAATGATAAAAATTGATAAAATGTTATCAACGTATTGCTCAAACTCTTCTCTCTATAGTATACTAAAATCTTACACTAGGGAACTACATGGCCTAATAACAATAGGGACCCTTCTTATACAGTACAGTATCATCATACATAAGTCATGAAAATTTCACAAAGGTACTCCTCAGATATTGGACTAATTCTATGAAAAGCAACTCAAATGAAAATAACGAACTGCACAGAAATATTGTATGTACTACAGACTGGTGTAGTCATTCAAAGATGATCTACACATATTTATTTATTGGCTGCAATTATTGGAGACATACTGTAATGGCATACCTGGGATGAACGAGAGATGGTGATAAGGCCGCCCTTGTCCCTACAGCTCTAAATGCCCGCAGGGACAGAAACTGTTGAGTACACAAATGACTTGACCTATATATAGGTCTAAAGAAACCCAACATTTTAATGTTGCTTTTGTCACCAATGCTGAAAAAAAAATATTTATCTTAGTAAGTAAGGATTTGTTTTGATATAAATAAAGCTATTAATGTACAGTATTACAAATAAAAATTTTGATGTAAAGTTAGGTTAAGACTTTTTTTCTGAATTTTACACAAGCATAATATAGAATTGAAACTATAAATATATGCCCAATAAGTCACTGTACTGAGCTATAGCACTTGGTTTCTCCCCAAGGCAAAATTCTACTGGTCCCCCTAGATAGGGTCTGGAACAATTAGGGCTGGTCAATATCCTGCACAGACAGCTGTGCAGGATAGAACAATTGAAGAGTTGGAGAGAAAGGAGAGAAAAAATCCATTGTGAAATGACCACAATTTTAGTTCAAAACCACTTAACGGCCATTTTGATTGCTACTTAGCATGATAAGTACAGTACTGTACTACCAAGTGCTGCTTCCATTAACAGCTGAATGGTCCACCTGGCTGCTATTTCTGACTGCTAACAGGTGGCAGCACATTTCTCTTGAGGCCTTCCCAGTTCAGCTGAGTTCAAGTAGAGACCAGAATTCAGTAAAGTGACATTATCCATAGAAACTTTAATTATGCAATGGTCTTATGCTGTAAGTGAATGCATCCCATGTCCTGGTAGTACAGTAGGGTTTGTTCTCGACACACAATCGAGAATTTTGGGTTTAAGTCTCGTAAGGGACAGAAATGGTTCGGCACATTTCCTTTCACCTAATGCATCTGTTTAATTAGCATTAAGTAGGTACTCAGGAGTTAGTCAGCTTATTGTGGGGTTGCATCCCCACAACCCTTACAGTAATTCAACCTTGGAGGAGGGGCTCAATAAAAAGCCTAACGTGTATGAATACACTCTGGCTTCTTGGCCCCCGACAATGAATTATTATGTGCATCTACACAGGTCAGTTGTCTCTCAAATCTTGAAAAGACAAGTTCTTTTATATACAGGTTGGTGTGCACTGGCTGTGAATAAACTCCACTTGAGGCTCTTGAGGTTACTGTTATATTGATAATTCCTTGGAAACTTTGTTCAATGATAAAAGCATTTCTTAGCCATGCACACGAGTATGCTCACTGGCTAGACTTGGTGGCTATGTGGCTCAGCTTTCCTCTTCCCTAGTGGAGGAGGCAGCCCAGACAGAAGCAATGAATGAATATTCACCAGGATTCCTTTTACTCTTTCATGATCTCCAGGTCCCAGGCAGGCTGCTGACAAATATAGCCCCCTTCATACTTTCTCTTTTTCCATCTCACATTCAGTTTATTGACTAGGTAGAATAGGAAGCCACTGGCTTCCTATTCTCATTGAGGCCACTAATGATACTGTATCAGTAAATTTTGATAATTCTGATAAATTCCTTAAAGGTTCATTCTTAACTCACAATCGAGAATCCTGGGTTCGAATCCCAGGCAGGACAGAAATGGTTGGGCATGTTTCCTATCACCTAATGGACCTGTTCACCTAGCAATAAACAGGTACTGTACCCAGGAGTTAGTTAGCTTCTTGTGAGGTTGCATCCTGGGAAGGGTTAGTAGGTCAACCTTGGGGAAGACCTTGATATAAGCCTAACATGTATATATACACTGGCTACCTGTCACCTGACACAAGGAATTGCTTTATTATTATTGTTATCACATTAACATAATTTGATTCATCCAAAACTCCCCAAAATACAGGCAAGACAGGTGGCAGTAACAAGTTTGGTTATATGGCAAGTGAAAGATATTTAAGCAATAAAAAATATATAAAATTACAATTACAGTAAACATTGTAAAATATTTTATGTACTGTTCTTGACTCATACTCAGGGAACCTGGGTTCAATTCCCAGGCGAGCAAGAAACGGTCCGTCTAATTACCGCAAGCTACCACAAGCTACGCTAAGCTTCCTGGCAACACGTTAGTAATGAATAAATATGATATATTTACTCATTATAATGTTGGTGCTGAATGTACAACACGAAAAAACATCATTTTAATCTGAAAAAGTATCTTTTTATAAAGAAATTAGACGAAAATAAAGAGCTGGTGACGCCAAATCAAGTCGACGATCCAAGTGTTGGTTAGGTTTGGTTTGGTTAGGTCAACCTAACCTAACATATCATATTTATTCATTACTAACGTATGGCCAGAAAGCTTTGTGTAGCTTGCGGTAATTAGACGGACCCGCAAGAAATGGTTGGGCACGTTTCCTTTTACCTGGTACTAGGGAGTTAGACTTGGTGAGGTTAGACTTGGTGAGGTTAGACTCGGTGAGGTTAGACTTGGTGAGGTTATACTTGGTGAGGTTAGGTTATTTAGGAGTTCGAAGAGAGGAAAGACTTGCCCCGGCAAGCTCACCTCAGCACGGCTCCATCAACCTTACCTGTCAGCTTATGTGGAAAACCTTACACCGGGCAGTGTCAGTTCTGGCAGTGAACTACTCTTAAATTTACACTCCTAGTTACATTAATAAATTTGTGAGTGTTACATGAGAGCATTTTTGAGCAGCCCGAACCATTCATCAACAACAACACGTTGTCCGATTCCTGCCTTGGGCTGAAGGGGGGGGGGGCTCATCCATTATGTAAATTGTTATATTTTGTAGCTATTTTAAGTTAAAAATATTCTGAATGTCATACATAACCTTAGAAATATTTATTTGGATTGCATACAAACGCGAACAAATGAAGAAGTATTATTGAATGAAGTATTTCGAACAGCCTGAACATTTTGGACACCAAATTCATACGTTCCGTATAATAATAATAAATAATAATAATAATAATAATAATAATAATAATAATAATAATAATAATAATAATAATAATAATAATAATAATAATAATAATTAATCATAATAAATAATCACTGATTTTCTCAGCAAAAGCGGTGAAATTCTGCGAAGAAGAAAATGTATTACCATGAGTTGGAGCCTAACCGACTAAGTAGCGCGCGCGCACCAAGCAGGGTACTTAAATGCGAGACGCGGACACAGCGCCCTCATGGGAGACATCTCCCGTCACGCACAGTTGTGTCCAGACCACGGTTGTGTGCGGTCGCTAGGTTGGCGCTCTTGGCGTCCGCTGATTGGTGGGAGGTGGAGGATTGCCCCACACTCTTCGTTTTTGCACGTGCTGATACAGGATATTGTGCATTTGTTCTCGATTATTGACAGCGTCGAAGAAATGGCTGAGGCGGTATGCCTAAGTGGTAGTGAGGAGGACAGACAAGATGATAATCGACCGTTTGAATTAGTAGTGAACTAAAAGAAACGGAGAAATAATAACAGACAGCGAGACAGTGACGATGAGATTGCAAAGAGACCAAAGAATGAGACCCTACTCAGCAAGACTCAAGACAAGCAAGACAAGACAAGAAGGAAGAGTGATCAGGGAGCGTCATGGCGTCTGGTGGAGGTTCGCGCAGCGTCTCTCCTGCAAATATTGACGATACCTTAGAGGACACTGGGGAACCACTGTTGCATACCACACATTTAGATCATGAACATCACCCGGTCTTAGAAGAGGATCTAGATGGAGTTTTCCTAGACAGCAAACATCACAGCAAGGCAAACAGATTGGAGGCGAAACGCCGCCAACTTACAGAGGTAAACAGAGACCATGCCGGCACCACGCGGCCTCAGTATCAACCTCCACAGCTCAACCAAGGTAGGCTAAGTTCTTCTGATTTGCAAACTTTCATCATTGCCTTTGATGGCGAAGAGGAAAATGTGTTCAGAAATAGCCGAGCACAAAGTATCTTATATAATGCCATTCCCAAGATATTCGGGATCGATGTGCACAATATGAGACCAAATAAACAGAAAAACCTGATCGCAGTGGACCACAAACATGGCGAAGAACTAAAGCTTTCAGACATTACTGACATCTGTGGCCACAAAGTCAAGTGCTATAAACCACTTGGGGACCGATTAACAAAATATGTAATCCGACATGTTGTAGACATCAGTGTAGACGACATCAAAGCACAACTTGAGACACATGACATCCCGATCCATGGAATCAAAAAATTTATGCGAAGAACAGACGGAGAACTGAGTGATACAGGCACTGCTCTGCTCACCTTTCTAGACTACATCCCCCCTGAGAGGATTTGGTTAAATGGCTTCCTCCATAAACTAGAGGTGTATATACCACGTCCCACTCAGTGTTTTAAATGTAAAGGTTTTAACCATACCTGGAAAGGCTGCACCAAAGACATTAAATGTGGGAAATGCTCTGGTTCCCATTACACGCAAGATTGTACATCAGATACACTTACCTGCTCAAACTGTGGTGGCGACCACGACATTACATTCAAACAATGTCCCTCATACATAGCAGCAGCAGCAAAAACTAAGGTTCTCCCTACCAACAACCTGCTATACAGTAGTGCACTGAAACAACCTAACACAGCCCATCATCAAACACTACCTCACACTCAAACACAGCCTTTGCTTGTACCTGATATATCTGTCACCGACACTCCCACAACCCCAGGGTCCAACCATCCCTCACAAAATGCACAACTGAATCCTGATCTTGTTGAAACTCTTGTCACTCGCATTGAAAATGATCTTGTTGAAACTGTTGTCACGCGCATTGAAAATGCACTAGAAAAGACGCTGGACCGACTGCTAACTAAATTCTTTACACAAGTAACACAACCCACTCCTGAGGCTGACCCAAAAGACATCCCATCAACAGCTACAGACACTGACATCCGCCCAAACAAAGCCACCATTGCTGGACACACATTGTTAGAACAGATGATAGAAAAACTAATAAATAACTCCCAAGCACGCCTTACCAAAATCATTCCACAGGCTGACTTGTCACAAACCCAAACCGCCAGTACCAAGAGTAAGGCACAGCCCACATCCACATCTAGATATCCAACACGTACTACTACTGGCATGCCAAGGAAAACAGACACATCCATAACCCACACATCCTAAATGGCTCCCCTAACATTCATGACTTGGAACGCAAAAAGCATTAAAACATCTCTCACAGAACTTAAACAATTCCTTTACTCATCCAAACCGGACTTAGCTTTCATAACCGAATCCTGGCTCACCCCTAAACAAAATCCTATTTTTAAAAACTTTCAGATGCAGAGACTGGACAGACCAAACCGTATGGGTGGTGGTATTTTCCTCCTAACACGGAGTAACATGACATGTAAACCTGTAACGCTTACACATTTTGTAAATGGTAAGCTAGAAATTTTAGCATGCCTAATACCCTACAATGGTACACACATATCCTTTCTGGGTATATACAACCCTGGTGGCACAATAAATTTAAATGAACTAGAATTCTATCTAAACCAACTACGGCAACCGATCATTGTTACAGGTGATCTCAATGCAAACCACCCCACATGGAGTAGAGGTACCCAAAATACTGCAGGCACCGATTTATATAACTACTTAGACACTACACCATATATTCTTCTTTCGCCGCCCTACCTTGCAACCTACTTTAACTACAGAACCAATTATGAAGCCTCATTGGACATCTGCTTTGGCTCTGCACACTTTCAACAAGAACTACAGTTTCATACTGGACCAGATATTGGAAGTGACCACAAACCCCTCATTATAAAATTTACTAACTTTCAGCCACCAACCCACCCCCTAACGCTCCCCAAGTGGAACATTAAGAAACTAGATAAGAAAAAATGGGCTGATACTGTCTGTCTCCCAGATACAGACGATGTAGACCCAAACACGCGACTGTCCACAATCACCTCGGCCATAAATTGTGCAGCCACCCAAATGCTCAAGAAAACTTCAGGACATAGGTCCAACAAACCACTTAAACCGTGGTGGAACGCGGAATGTGCACGAACAGTCGCTTTACGCCGACGAGCCATACAAAAACAAAGACGTCAACCCTCCCTACAGAACTGGGTTAATCTCCGGCGGGCTACAGCAGAAGCCAAAAAAACCATACTGTCAGCAAAGCGAGCATCATGGGCAAAATTTTGTGATAGCCTCACACCCACTACGCCACATTCAAAAGTCTGGGCTACATTTAACAGCATTAAAGGTCGCCCAACATTCCCTTCGTTCCCCCTGACGATCAACGGTTCACTCTGTCAAACACCTCAGGAGCGTGCAAATGTTCTTGCTGAATGTCTTAAAGTTACCCTCTCAACACCCTTCTTTCATGCCCAAGAACTCCCCCTTAGACAAGAAATTGACCGTGCCATACTGCTACCCATGCCTGGCGTCGACAACATATACACCTTAAGCGAGCTACAATTAGCCTTAACCCGCCTACCTCTTGGCAAGGCACCTGGAGAGGATGGAATTCCATATGAACTCATAAAACATCTCCCATCAACTGCACATAGTACTCTCCTAAACTATTACAACCTATGCTGGACTCACGGAAATATTCCCTCACAATGGCAGACCAGTATTATTCTTCCGTTCCTTAAACCAGGAAAAGACCCATCCCAACCTGCGTCATATAGGCCTATTTCCCTACTATCATGCCTCAGTAAAGTCATGGAAAGACTAGTACATACTCGCCTCCAATGGTACCTAGAATATAATAATATTATACCGTCACTCCAAGCTGGATTTCGACCGCAATGCTCCACACTCGATCAAATACTTTGCCTTGAACATGAAATCCGCACCTCTCTCAGAAGCAGTAAATATTGTCTTGTTGTCTACTTAGACCTCAAAGGAGCTTTTGATAGCATTCCTCATACTTGCCTCCTCGCAAAGCTTGCGCGTTTAGGCGTACAGGGAAGATTACTTTTATGGTTAAAATCTTATCTTACGAACAGGACCTCTAAAGTCTATATACAAGGCGAGTTTTCCGATGACATCCCAATACAAACGGGTGTCCCACAAGGCTCCATATTAAGCCCAACCCTTTTTTGCTGCATTCTTAGCAGATTTGCCTAACACCCATCCTGTTAACCTCTCGGCGTACGCCGACGACTTAACACTGTATTATTCAGACAACGCCTTACCTAATACAGTCTCAACAATGCAAACAGCACTTGATCACCTCATAGATTGGACACAACAATGGGGCCTTCAAGTTAGTACTACCAAAACCTATTATCAAATTTTCACTAAAAAAAGACTCGTTCATCTACCCACCCTCACAATACACAACACTCCCATCCAACACGTACGAGAACATAAATACCTTGGCATGCACTTAGACTCGCCCTCACTTACCTGGACAGCACACATTCAACACCTTAAACAGACGACACAACCCCGACTCGCCATACTGAAAGCCCTCACTGGCACCACCTGGGGAGCACACCATAAAATCCTGCTCCGTTTCTATACAACCTACATTCGCAGCCAAATAGACTATTGTTGCCAAGCATATGCATCGGCTGCGCCTACTAACCTACAGAGCCTAGAGGTCATCCAAAACAATGCCATGCGACTTATATGTGGCGCAATGCGTTCCACTCCTATCCTCGGACTTTACGGGGAAACGGGCCTCACAAGCCTAGCCACCAGACGAGACATAATGTGTGCCAACTATCTGTCACTCTGTACCACT